CTCTGGGCAGCACCATTTATGTCACCCCAACTTCTAAGTAAAAAAAAAAAAACTTGCTAGGACCCTGGGAAAAAGCAGCCCTGAGCCTCTTCCTCTTCGTCCCCAACGCTGTGCCAGTCTTCTTTCCCATCCAGATGTCAAACAAACAAACAAACAAAAAAAAAAACTTGGCCCCATGCTAAAGTTGGCCTCATTCCTGTCAGAAACCACAATTTAAATGAACTTATATGAAATGATGTCCTATGAAATGATGTCTCCGATCCCCCTGTGCTTAATTGCTCATCATTTTCAAATCCCTCCCCCATTCTTTCCTCAGCCTCCCACCTCTGGATGCAGCTGGGCTGTTTCAGGCACTGAGCTCACCAGCTGTCAGCAGGGAGGTAAAGCTGGGTCTGGTCGGGCAGCCTGTGCTCATGTTTGACCTTTCAAGAGCACTAAAGGAAGAGATGCTGCCCACTTAGGCCTGTGAACCCAGCCAAAGATGACCTCAAAGGTCACTTCGCAAATAAAGGTTTATCCAGCTGAGATTGAGAGTGGGCACAGATCTTGTCCTGCTCCTTTTAGTTTTCAGTCAATAATATTAGAACATTTACTGGATCTTGGTGTCTTTAATGAGTTGATTCTTTAAGTATGTAAGTGCTCACAAAGACACTGAAAGGAATTTTGCTCTCTATACTGAGTAAGGACTGTGGAATTACTTGGGGGGTCAACTTCCTGCCCCGTGGAATGCAGTGGGAAAGTTCTCACAATAGGAGCAAGCCTCTCCCAGGGTGTCCTGTGCAGGAGGCATCTGCGGAGATTTCATGCAGACAGGGCTATGAATCAAGATGCCATCAGCCAAGGACACTACATCCTAAGTGAGCTTCATTTAGATTCCACAGAAGCTTATCAATAGCATAAGCCCCCAAAATGTCTGTGTGTTGGGGGCAGGGGTGGTCATTAGACCTCTCACTGTTGGGAGAGTTTGTCCAAACTCATGTTCTCTTTTTCTGTTTTAAATTTAATTGAATCACTATGAATTACAAAGTTGTTCATGATTGAGTTTTAGACAAACCACATTCCAATACCAATCCCTTTGCTAGTGGCTCATATTATCTTGAACTTACAATAGTCTCTTCAAGAGAATCGGTCCTGAAGGAAAAGGTTATCATATTTAATAACTTCTTTAAGGAAGTTATTCTCAATCTTGTTAGGTTCACAGACGCTTAATCACAATGAACAGAATAGTGGATGAAGCCCAGTTTATTCATTTTCTCAACTAGTGCTTTTGGGAAGCCTGTTTAGTGCCAGTTACCCTGAGAAGCAGTCAAACAAGTAATCACAACCCTGGGGTTGGCTGCTTCACCGAGAACTCTGAACCATCATCAGTTCAGATTTCAGTATCTGACTGTGAGTCTCAGGTCTGTATCTGTACTATCTGTTTCTGTCTGTACTAGCACCTAGAACAGCTCCTGGGACGTAGGTGATACTCCATGTGTTTAGTAGGTTAATACACACAAGTCAGAGTTGTACCCTTCAAATCTCTTTGAATGCTTCATGAAACTCTTTAGATACAAATCAAGCCATACATAGTGGATGTATTAATCACTCAATCTAACCAGTGGGTCTACAGAGATGAAGAAGCACTCTTCATATCCCCAAACTAAGTAACTTTGTGTTACTGAAGGAAGTGGGTAGATAGCAGGAGATGACGCTGAAGAGAGACTTGAAGAACCTAATAATCTGAATTTTTATCCAGGAAGAAACAGGATCAATGTTAGATCCTTAGATCAATGTTAGAATTAGACAGAGGAGTGATAGGATTAAGTTTGTCATTTGGTGACATCACTAGCTACAGAGTGGAAGGAAGAATGAAGGGAGCCAAGGCTGATTGGGAGCTAACAAAGACTGTGAGTTAGAGGTAGGGCAGACAGTGACCATTTCAAGAGCCACGAAAGCAGAATGGACAGGACTTTGTAATGGACCCCAAGGGAAAATAGTTAGTTTCTTCTCCTAGACTCAAAGATACTCCGTGACTGGGACTATGTCTCATAGGAAGTGATTAATATGTACTTAGTGGCTGAATGGACAAGCAGGAAGGGAAAAGACTTGGGTTTCTAGATCTCAAATTTGTTATTATCCACGTCACAGGATATTTACTGGCTCCAGATTCCAGCAGTATTTAGTCCAAACCCATTACAAAGATTAACAGATGTCTGTCCTGTACCTCACATTGACTGCTGGAGCCCCATCATTTCCCAGTATTGGGCTGTCAGATATCCCCTCCCCTCTGCCTATCATGCCCTGTCTTCTCTGTAATCCACAATTCATTTCAGGTGTCAGTTCTTTCCCCAAACCATAGATTTCCTGTGTCCAGAGCTACTTGAATGGAATGTCTATGTATTTGCTTATGTATTTTGATTAGTTGAAAGAGGGATGACATTCCCTAATTCACCCTCCTAGTCCCTCCAGCCTTGAGTTTTATCTGTAGAGGGATATGGTATATCCTTGGTAAAGTGAAACAGAGGTATGCTGTATGGGGGGTGGGGGGAAGCAGGAGATAGAATTGGGTGGCAGAAGGGAAACCCAGACATTGGTAGTGGGAAATGTACACTGGTGAAGGGACAGGTGTTGGAACATTGACTGAAACCCAATCATAAAAAATTTAATAACTATCTCATAGTGATTCAATTAAAAAAATTTTAAAAAGAAAAGAAAAAAAAAGAAACAGGCCTAAAAAGTGGGATTATTATTGCTATTATTTATAGGGTGAAGGTTTGGCACATACTAAGTACTCAGTGGATGAGATCATCATTTCTAAAAAGTGGAAGTTTCACTTGTTCTTGACCTAACTTAATCCTGTTGCCTTTCCACAATGTTTAGAATTCCTGGGAAATTCTCTACTGGTATCAGTAAGTCATGAACCATGTTTGGACCCACTGGGGCCTTCCTCCACAAATCCCAGTTTCCTTTCTGGTAGTTTTCCTCGAATCCATTAGAGCTTTTCCCTTTGGCTGTAACAGACATGGTTCAGCTTTTGATCTCTCTGATTCTGGGAAATGGGGTAAGAATCAGAAAGAATCCCCTTTAGGGACTTACCTCTTCTTGCATTGGTGACTGCTGGAAATGTCAGATGTGCAGCCCCAGATTTGTACTTGTATCCATTGAGAAGGGGGATTTCTGGTTGTTCGAAAAGGAGGGAGCAGTTAGTACCAACATCCTTGAGCTCTGTTTATATTTTTCAAACCTACTTTGAGGAGTGAGTCCCAAAGGAGCTCTTTCATAATTTTTTTTCATTTTTCTTTAGAATTTCCTCTAAAACCCTTTGGGAAGAAAAAATTAACATAATCCAGATTTAGCATTTCAATGGGCTTAAAAAAAAATCACTGTGAGCTAGACCCTCACAAAGCTATTCATAACTGGGCTTCAGTTATACAATGTTCCAGCACCCATTCTGCCACCAGTGTACATTTCCCACCACCAATATCCCCAGTTTTTCTACTACCACCCCCCTCTGACCCTATCTCACTTGCCTCTATGACAGGCACCCTTCTCTCTCTGTCTCTGTCTCTGCCTCTCTCTGTCTCTCTCTCCTTTTGTGGATCATGGTTTGCAAAATACAGGTACTAAGAGGTCATCACATTTTTTTCAGGGCATTCAGTATTTTTAATGGGGAAGGCACAGCTGGAGTAGTTTTTTTTATCTGGGTGGTGGCTTTGGGGTGTGTCCATGACTACCTGGACTTCTGGGAGTACAGGGAGGTTGGCAGGAGGTAGCCCATCCCAACTCTAAGAAAGCCTGGAGATTTCAGTCACAAAACTCACATACTCGAATTTCCAGCAGATTAATATCTCAGTGAGGTCTGTTCTGAGACGATGGAGTCTGGCTAGGGACATGGCAGTGATTTTGGGCTGTGGGAGCGAGTGGCTGCCAGGGGTTCTGCTTGGGCAAGCACCAGGCTGAACCTCCATGTTCTGATTTACCTTGGTCTGTTCAGTCTTGTGTAGGTCTGCGGCTTTTGATCTCTTTCAAAATTTATTTATGGGTCACTGAAGCAGGACTGATAAAAGAGCTTACTTAAATGGCTGAGCCAGAGGTGGTTTGTGAGAGTGGCTGCCACATACCTAACTTTTGGCCTTTTAATTTCTCAGGAAACTTGGTCCTGAGTTGTTGGAGTCCCGCCAAAGGCACAGAGGTGATTTAGGGATATCAGGAAGTTTGAAGGCACCAATCTGGCTGCTAATGCACTTGGTCGTGGGTCCAGGTTCACCTGCTGGTGGTGCTGTGTCCCCTGGGCCCCAATGGTGACAGCGACAGTGGCCCCAGCATGGACCAGGACCAGGACTAGGTCTGCTACTATTCACTGCAGCCACCAGTCCAGAAAAACCTGAACAGGGGGCCTGGGTCTCCAAACAGTTGGCTCTCAGGGAGGTTTTCCTCCATAATATGCTGCAGGAGGCGCAGGCAGATCCAGGGAAGAAATGATGGTGGGGCTGCCCAGCCAGTGGCTGAGCAGCGGTGGTTTTTAGTCTTGGTGTGGCTTCTGAGTCCAGAGCGGTCACCCGGGCAGCTGTCCAGCCACCCAAGCCAGTCACTCATGCTAGAAACCTGGGGCACCAAAGCAGTTCTGAGCACCAGTCTTTGGAAAGTGCCTTTTTAAAAAGAATTGACACTTTCATTGATTCCAGTGAAAGTATGTAGAGTTTCTGTGCCGTTGCGCCTCGCAATTCAGAGTTCTGAGCACTGCCATTTTGTTCCTGCCTGAAACTTTTCCCCCATTTTTAATTTCTCCCCACTTAGCCATTTGCTGAAGACATCATTTGTAAACTCATAAGAAATATTTGTGGAAAGTCCTTTCATTTGCATGTAAGTTTATGATGATGGTATTGTGGACCCAGCCTGACTTAGAGGCCAAGGAGTCAGCAGAACTTCATTCGCTGTGATGAACCATAAGGATATTGGACTTTTTCACATATTTACCATATGTTTGAGGGTTTCATGTGATGGTTTTGTTTCTGCAGGGACTTCAGACAAGTCTAACCTGGAGCTGATCACGCTGACATGTACCTGTGTGGCTGCCACTCTCTTCTGGCTCCTATTAACTCTCTTTATCCGAAAACTAAAAAGGGTAAGAGCGTTGATGATGAAATTCTGTGCTCTTTCTTAAGTAATAGTCATAAGTGTTTAGACTTATGACTAGAACAGGTGTTAAGCAAACCTGTCGCAGGCTCTTCTTCCATTCCCGTCATTCCTATCACTGACCTACTCAACTCAGAAATCAAGCAGTAAAATGTCTCTCTGTCCCAAGTACGATCTTTGAAAGCAAAGCTAGAGCCATGAACCAAATACTCTATCCCAGAGATAAAGGAGTATTCTTATCAAAAAATAAGTAATGCACCAGCTTTCCATGTGTGAGACTGTGTTCTTTAGAAATTGGTAAATGAATAGATAAATGAATAAACAAATGCAGTCAAGTCTTTAAATTCAATTTAGCCTAGGATATATGAAGCAAAATCAAGTCTTTCTTCTGATTTCTCTACCAGAACATTATGGAAATTCAGAGAAATAGCTTACCCATTTTCTCTGAGCTGAATGAAACAGTTCAGTTCTTCAAACTGTGAGGAACAGGTTGAAACTCAGACAGCAGATTCTGGACTGAGACAGACGAGGCAGAGAACGGGATCAAGTAGCAAAACCAACCAGACAGGACTTTGCAGGTCACATGAAAAACTTTAGACTGTATTCTAGAAGTAATAGGAAGCCTGTAGGTAGGGTAAGGGCAAGCAAAGGTTGGAGATCATATAAATGTAGGAGGCTGCTTCTGCAAAGATTATTTTGCTATAAGGAGAGTGTTCTAGAATAGGACAACAATGAATAGAGAAGAAATGAGGAGAAGATAGTCAAAGTAAGAAAAGGTGGTAACTTGGTCTAAATTATTGGAGCCAAGAAATATTTAGGAAGTAAGATCAACAGATAGAAAGGACTGTTCTCAATTTCTTGAGAATTTTAGCCTTTATTAATGCCCAAAACTTGTAGAAGCTCTTTTTTCTTTATGTAGTAGCTCAGCTAGTCCTTCAAAAAACATAAAGAGGTCGATGGTTGATTATTTTCAACTAACCAGGAAGAGAATTGAGTTTTAGGGAGTAATGGAATTTGTCAAAACTTACAAAACCAGTTAGAGTTAGAGCTGAGATTTTTGTTTATTTCTCTCTCTCTCTCTCTCTCTCTCTCTCTCTCTCTCTCTCTCTCTCTTTCTCTCTCTCTTTGGTAGTACCGGGTATCAAATCCAGGTCTCCTACATGCTAGCCATGTACTTTATCTCTGAGCCACATTCTCACTCCCCCAGCTGTTTTGAACTCAGGTTTTTTAAAAACTTAGACTTGTTTGTTATACAAACACATTAAGATGTTTTTTACTTCTGACTTTTTGTTGCTTTCTGTTTTGGGGTCACACCTGACGATGCTCAGAAGTTAATGCTAGCTCTGAGCTTAGGAATTACTCCTGGTGGTGTTTGGGGGAACATATGGGATGCTGGGGATTGAACCTTGGTTGGCCGCATGGATGGAAAAATCCCTACCCACCTTGCTATCTCTACAGCCCCTAAGATGTTCTTTATAGTGTTGGTATGACACAAGGAGAGACTTCAATCATGGTGAATATGAAGTGCAGACTCAGGCTCAATGCAGTGATTGGTGTGTGAGACCTGACAGTTAAGGCCACTGTTTTGTTTTTGTGATGCCATTGATGGAGCCTAGTGTGTCACACACAAAAAGAAAGCACTCTGCACTGTACTGCAGAACTCCATTCCTGGCCCCACCACTGTTTCAGAAGGAAACAAGCTCAATCAACAGCAATGTGGAAGGGAAGAGACCTCCTGTAGGGAAACAGATCTAACAAATGCCAAATGCTACTGAATCTATGAGGGAGATTCATTCATTCAAGGATCTAAGGCTCTAAGGAAGAGAGTAAGAAATTTTGCTTCCGAGAAATCAAAATTCAGAGACAGAATTTGACAGGCTCATCAGGAAGGAAAGGTTGAAAAAACCATTCCATCTTTTCCCACTTTCCAGATGGGGAGAAGGGCAAGTTACTTAGCACATAGAAGCAGAGTAGAAATAAAACTGGAGAGGTAAATTGGAACTAAATTAAAGAGGCCTTTAGTTTCTAAAACTTATGAAATTCTGACATCAGTGAGGAAGACTGAGGGAGAAATGATCTCCATCATAGGATGTTTATACTTTGAAAAGTGGTTATAAAGGCCAAAGAGGAACCACATTAATGCATTCCCAGACTGATCCTCTAACTGCAATGTACATTCCTTACTGATAGATACTGTGTGCTAACCCCCAGGCCCCCAGTCCAGTGTTAGAATCTCAACAAGCAGTGACTGATGCTGACGCTCTACCAGGCCCTTCCCTAACAGCCTTACCTGGGTTATTTCATTTTATTTTGACAACGGCCCTGAGAGATAAGCAGTGTCTGTCACTCTCATGATGGTACAGATAAAGAAATGAGGCTTAGAAAGATTTAAGGTCATGTGCTGGTCAGAAGTTGAGCTCTGATTCAGACCCAGTGAGCCTCAAAGCCTGTGCTCTGAAGCGCTGAGCCGTGCAGCTTCCCGGCCAAGAATCTCAGGGTTAACATCAATGGAGGACCAAAAATTTGTCAGCTAAGATCCTACTATCACCCTTGTCATGTCGCCTTTACATAAGGTTTGTTTGGTATTCTATTGAGCACTGTAGCACTGTCCTCCCGTTGCTCATCGATTTGCTCGAGCAGATCCAGTAACGTCCCCATTGTGAGACTTGTTGTTACTGTGTTTGGCATATCGAATACGTCACAGGTAGCTTGCCAGGCTTTGCCGTGCGGGCAAGATACTCTCGGTAGCTTGCCGGGCTCTCCGAGAGGGGCAGAGGAATCGAACCTGGATCAGCCACACCGGCCCCATGCAAGGCAAACGCCCTACTGCTGTGCTATCGCTCCTAAAACATAAAATTCCATAGATGCCATCATCGGAAGTTGGTCTTCCATTTCTGTCTTCCCTGCCTGAGATACCACTGCCAACCTCTTCTTGTCTGCCTCCCGCCACACTCACACACACACACACACACACACACACACACACACAGCAGAATGAGGGGATCCCTAAATCCACTGCAGCTAGCCTCTGCTCAGTGCAGCTGACAAGCTATCTCTCAGGTCCTCCACCCTCTTGGAAACATGTAGTCATTAGACTTATTCCAGCAGCTTCTCTCATTCATACTCGGCACTCTGAGTTAGGAGTGCTCCATCTACCACTGAGAGACAGGCTGGTCTTTCTGATGACCGCAGTTCATGACAAACGTGCTCCCTAGTTTACTCTTTCCCACTTCTGTGAGACCAGGCAAATCTTGCTGCCTCGAGCTGTTTGTCACACGTGTTAGTGATAATTTTTGTGAGGAGTCCTGATTAGAGTGATGGATGAGGTGAGACACGACAGAACAAGGGAAAGGCCGAAGCATGTGGGTGGTGTGTGTGGAGAAGTTGTCTACCCTCCTCAACTCTGTGCCTGTCTGGGAAAAGGCACCCAAAGGAAGGGCCTCAAGACTTGTTTAAATGAATTCACATAACTTCTAGGCAAGAGTGGCCAAAATAACCTTATATGGAGAAGCATAGCTGCTTCCTTTCTCTCCTACCCACAGAAATGCAAGCATCCATTCTGCATTTAATAGGAAGTACACCCAGTGATATGGATCTAAGTCACTAAATGTAAATACAGTTATCTATGATCTAAAACAAAGGATATTTTCTGGGCTCAATTTGTAAGGTAATCTTACTTTAGCCACAGAAATCCAGCATTTGAAGACAGATCCCTGCTTCCTTATTTGACATTGTACCAGTGATCAAAAGAACTCCTACCCTATTATTTCCTGGCCTTCGGAATGATCAGCTTCTCTCTCTAATTGAATATCCAGTCTCACCATTAAACTGCATCATTTTCTTAGAAGTAACAGCAACTAAGAGTCTACTTAAACATGAAGTGCACCTCTCAGCTCTCCCTAGGATGCTGAGTTTATGGTGCCACCACTGGTCTTTCTCGCCAATGCAGAAAGTCAACAGTCATTGTCCTCCACTGTTGGCCTTTATGGAGCATACAATACCTCTTCTACAGAGAAATCATGGAAAGTTATTTTAGTTTATTGTTATTATTACTTTGTTGTTGTTGTTGTGATGGTGGTGGTGGGACCACACCTGACAGTGCTCAGCACTTACTCCTGCTTCTGTGCTCAGAGAGCACTCCTGTTGTTGCTTGGAAAACCCAATGCAGGGTCAGAGATCGATCTGCAAGACAAGTGCCTTAACCCCTTAACCTTAAGTACTACGTCTCTGGCTCATGGAAAACTATTTTAAACATATTTTAACCATCTTTATAACATTTTATTTAAAATTTTTCTTTTATTAAAAATTATTTGCCCTGGGAATGGAGAGATAATACAGTGGGTAGGGCACTTGCCTTATACCTGGCTGATCCAGGTTCGATCCCTGGCACCCCATAATCTGAGTCCACCAGGAATAAGCCCTGCGTACAGAACCAGGAATAAGCCCTGAGGACTACCAGGTGTGGCCCCCAAACCAAGATTCAAAAAGTCTTTGCCCTTTTTGGAAAAGCACTATCATAATGTTCATTGTTTAAAATAAGTCACTGGACAGCTTCTGTGCATTTTCTACAACAAATGTTGGTGACACTAGAACAACTGCAGCAAAGTAATGTGGGGCAGAATGGGGTTGTATAGGGAAACTGCATACGTGGAAGCAGAGAATGGTCTCTGGACTGACCACACAGTTTCAAAGAGATGACCCAAGTGATGATGATGCAAGTGTTCTTTTACATGGGATCATTTGGGTTCTTTAAGTTGTTCCCTCATTGCTGACTTTGAGATGTCTTTATTTCTCAGTCTTCTTCAGAAATAAAGACTGACTACCTCTCCATTATAATGGACCCAGACGAAGTTCCCTTGGATGAACAGTGCCAGCGGCTCCCTTATGATGCCAGCAAGTGGGAGTTTGCCCGGGAAAGGCTCAAACTGGGTAATGTATTTGTTTGACAAGTTCTTGAACCCCACTAAGCACCTACTACATACTGAATTCTATAGTTTGAGAAGTGCAAAAAAAGAAATGAAGTTCGGGCTTCTTGCCCCATCTGCCTACAAAAAGGGCAAAGGACATGGCACAGAGGTTGAGAATAATAGTTAAAATGTGAGATCACGACACAGGATACAGGGAACACCTGGTCATTCCTTCAGTTGTTGTCCAGCACCATCTCTAAGTAACAAGCACCAGTCTGTACCCTGGAGATTCTGAGCTAGTTGAGATAGCCACAAAAGTGGACAAGTGCAGGGCCAGGGGTGAGATTTGTTCTCTGGGAGTAGCAAGAGGGGGAGGGGCTTTCAAGTACTGGCATGAACAGTTGAGTGTCTGAGGAGATAGATAATTGTGAACTAGATTATGTAAGTGGGTAGAGCGCTTGCCTTGCATGTGGCCAACCAGATTTGATTCCTGGCATCCCACATGGTTCCCTGTGCACCAACTGATTCCTGAAAATAGAGCCAGGAGTAACCCTGAGCATCACCTGGAATAAACCTCCAAAAAAAAAAAAGAACTACATAGGATGGCAAGAATAACCAAATCAAACAATTGGTAAAAGAGTTGTGCCCTTCTTGAAGGCTGTAGATAAAAGTACCTCATGACACAAAACCACTTCCAGTTGGCTCAGGTGTTCAAAAGTTCTGGAAAAGTAAGTCCCAGGGTTGTCATCAAAATTCTGTTTTTGAAGCACAAGGGCTATCTTTTTCCAGGTAATATAGATGCTGTTGAGACCAGGGCAATGTGCTTGTCCTTAGCCTGTGCCCCAGTTCCCCTGCTCAGACATCACAATGCAAATCCATCTCCAGCCAGGGGTGTTACAAAACAACAGGAGCCTCAGTTACCCCCACTCCCAATATTTGGATCAAGGCTTCTGAAAGTTTTCCACACACTCCTTGGTATGCCAGAATCATTAGTAGTTGGAACTAAGAAAAAAAAAAAAGATCATAGATCCAGTGTTCCTGGAGCTTGTCCCTCTCACTGCAAAGAGACTGTTGTTCCAAATCTAACTGCAAGACCTCCCCCTGTTCCTCTGTCTTGCCTGGCAAAGAACACAGGCTACTGAGATGGGGTGTGAAGGGACAGGGAGAAGAAGTAGCTTTTCTTTGTTGTTCTCTTGGGCCTGGAAATGATTCCACTTACACATTTATTCCTACATGAGAAAGAAGGCTTGGCCCCAGGAGCACACTCTGCCTGGCTGGGGGAAGAAACTTGGAAATCAGTAAAAGGGTGGAGAAGCAGGCGAAAGCCAGCAATGACTGCTGACAAGAGAAACAAACAAACAAAAAGAGCAACTAAATTTAGAGTTGTGAAGGGCAGGTGGCACTCTGGCTGAGTTCCTTCTGCAAGTCTAAATTTTATGGCAGCCAGCCCAGGCCCTCGGTGACCTTAGCAGGAAACTTGGGATAATTTTCCCATAACCATAAACCATTCTCAGCCATATTACTTTGCACAGTCCTTAGTCACAATCAGATGTGCCTCTTTCAATGGCCAGCCCAAGCTTCCTCTCCTGTGTGTTGCTGTTGATCCACGTGACAGCCAAGGGAGGCTGCTACTCCTTCTACCAGGAGTTTCCAGATAGTCTCATTCCAGGAGCTTTTCTTTGCTGGAAGGGCCTTCTGAGAGCTCTTCCCTTCAGCGCCCCAGAGTTGCCAAATTCTCTGATTTGGCTGCTGTACATCTGAGTCTCTTTGATGGTTGAAAGGAATCATGTCAAGTCAGACAACTCACTCTTTCAAAGTCTGGTGTGCCTACAAGAGCCCAAGGAATGCTTTGCCTACTCACAGGGAAGCAGAGACTGGAGGTTTGTTTGTTTTGAAAGGCTAATAAATGACAGAGTATGAAAATGTGTCACGGGTGAAAGCAGCCAACTTTTGATGGACAGAGAGAAAAGGCTAAATTGGGGCCAGAGAGATAGTACAGTGGATAAGGTGTTTGCCTTGCATGAGGACAACCTGAGTTTAATCCCAAGAATTCATAAGCTATCCTGAGCACTTGCCAGGGGAGATTTTCTCAATGCAGAGCCAGGAGGAAGCACTGAGCATCGCCATGTGTGCCCCAAGTCCCAAAAAATAAACTTAAAAAAGCAATAAGCTGGGGCTGGAGTGATAGCACAGCAGGTAGAGCGTTTGTCTTGCACACAGCCTATGCGGGTTCGATTCCCAGCATCCCATATAGTCCCCTGAGCACCACCAGAAGTAATTCCTGAGTGCAGAGCTAATTCCTGAGCATCGCCAGGTGTGACCCAAAAAGCAAAAAAAAAATAGAAAAATAAAAAGCAATAAGCTAAAAACAAAACAAAGCAAGGCAAGAAAAGGCAAAAATAAAGACAAAGGCACTGCATGGCTGGCTCATGGACAGAGCAACAATGGGTGTCAATATAGAGATAGATAGAGACCAAGTACATCTGACTTAAGCTAGAGATTTGGGGGTTACTCTTAGCAACCTGGTGAGAGAGTGATAATCCATCATCCCTGTTAGATAAAGTGAGAACAAGAACGTGGGTCAAAGCCGTTGCTCCACTCAGGAACTGCAGAAATGTGTTTGAGCCTTTTACTAAACCCAGAAAAGAATGCAGCTCCTTACACAGTTATCAGGAACGTTGTGATAACCTGTGGAGAGCTCATCTTTCGATTGAAAAAATCAGGTCAGCATCACTGAAAGTGGTAATCATAGGGGCAGCTAGAATTTGGTGAGTAGGTGGTGCCAGGGTCGGTGTTGCCTCTTTTAAGTCCAGGCCTGGATGCCAAGGAGCTGGGCCCTGCACAGCCACACTCATTCCCCGGTATCTCCTGGGGATCTGGCCAGCCAAGGACATTCCTGGAGGAGATTCCAACATCCTTCCTTTGTGGGACATGACCTAGAGTCTTTCCAACTCCTTCATGAAAGTTAGGTAACACTAACGAAGATTTTGAAGGAAAAGGATCAGGTAAGGTCAAGCCCGGGTCACCCGGCTTCCTGAAGCTGGAACCATGGATCTGAGGAAGGATTCCAGCAAAATGGCTGATTAAAGACCCCGTAATCACTTCATGCTGTTTTATGAGGCAGTGTCAGCTTCCAGGGAACTAAGTGAATGAGACAAAGGGAAGCCAAGTGTGAATGAGTTTATCCTCAATGATGCAACGAAGTCCCCAAATGCTTTTTAAAATAAAGTGTGTTGTGACAGCTAAGAAGGGAGTGTGTGGGGGTGCAGTGAGGGAAAGGAAGAGGATTCTGCCTGGCTCAAGGGATCAGAACCCCTCAAAGTATGTGGAGAGGCTTCCCAAAATCAAGATTATCTCAGGATTTTTTGGGCTCAGGACACTTTTCATGAGCAATGGTGAAGGCATCAGAAGGAAAAACTGGCCTTTGAGTCTTATCCAGGAAAAGCGAAGAATTTGCTTCAAAATGATATGCACTTACTTTTATAAGCCCAGAAACATTATCTCCAGAATGCTTTCCATCCCAGATCCACTTCTGCACCTGCACAGCTCCCTCACATGTCTGTTATAGACTGGAATCCCAGTTTGGCACATTTTTGGGGTCAGTGTTATCTGAAGAAAGAAGTAGAGACTCAAGTTTACCTGTGCCGTGGCTCATGCTCGGTCACTCATGGTGCAAGAAGGTGTCCACTATGTTCTCCTAATAGGGGGCTTTCCTGGGAGATGGACATGGAGTCAGCCACAAAGGGGGTGCCTACACTGTGCCTTGATTGAACATGGATGGGTCTTAACTAGATGCTGAGGATGCCTGGAAGCTAGAGGTTCTGAGCGGAGTGAGGATGAAGATGTCAATTTTACAGAAGTGGTACCTGAATGCCCAAAAATCTGAACACCATAAAATGTGTTCAGACTTTTGAGTTCAGAGTATTGCTTTACTGTGAGTACAGACTTTTGAGTTCAGAGTAATGCTTTACTGTGACCTTTCTAAGAATCTGTGATGATGATGATTATGGTGATGATGATGATGATTATGACACTGTGATTTACAAATTTATTCATTGTTGGGTCTAGGGGCAATAGAACAGCAGTTAAGGCATTTGCCTTGCATTTGGCCAACCTGGGTTTCAATACCCATATGCTCTGAGCTCACCAGGAATATCTCTGAATGCAAAGCTGGGAGTAAGCCTTCAGCACCACCATGTGTGGCTCAAAGACAAAACCACAAAAAAGTTATTCATTGTTGAATTGTAGGCAATTCAACAATGGTGTTCCAGCATCAGTCTCATCACCAGCGTCTGTCTCAGAATCTTTAAAAACAACAGTGTACTTAGGGGAAGAGATGGGATAGGAAGGAAGGGTGGAAAGGGAGATTCTGGGAGGGAGGCAAGGAAGGAGAAAGTTTCGACAAGGTTTATCAGGCTATGAGGACAGTCTGAGAGACAGGACGGATTGGGAGAGGTTTTGTGGTAGATTAAGTGGTACCGCCACAGTTTCCTTTTGAGAGAACTGCTTGGCCCACACTCCTTTCTGCTTCACCACATCTCAAGTCACTCACTGACTGTGTCCTGGTGGGAGGAAAGCAAGAGTCCTGACATGAGAGTAACTGAGGTGTTCCAGAGGTTTCCCATCTCGAAGCATCCCTCTCAAGGTCTCAGGGGCCTGTCTACTGACCTGGACCTGGATTGGCCTCACCCCCACTGTCCTGAAATTTCCAGATGCAAATCCTCCTCTGTACACATTGCCCAGGGGCCAGGTGGGGCTCTTAATTCAGAGCAATTCAGACCCCCATCCTTGCTCCTCTGAGTCAAAGTACTCGTACCGAGGGAGAGAAAGAAATGAAGCCAGCCATAGAACATAACCTGGCTGATACACCCTGAAAAAAATCCCTGCTGTGTGCCAGACTCTCTCTTCTTCTCTATCATGGAAATGAATTACTAGCCTATGGCTGACACAGTCGGGAGAACCACAGAAATCCAGAATCAGGTGAAGACTTGTAAGAAATCCTGGGAATAGATTGCAAGAAAGACTGACAGACAATTTAATGATTTTTTTTTGCTTTCTGGGTCACACCTGACGATGCTCAGGGGTTACTCCTGGCTCATGCACTCAGGAATTACTCCTGGTGGTGTTCAGGGGACCATATGGGATGCTGAGAATTGAACCCGGGTTGGCCACATGCAAGGCAAATGCCCTACCCATTGTTCTATCGCTCCAGCCCCTATTTAATGATTTTTTAATTGTACAAATCATGATCATAATGAATCAGAGAAAATGCCATTCTCTATTTCTTTCTGTATACAAAAAAATAAAACCTGGAAGAAAAAGAAGAAGAAATGACTTTGGGCCAAAGATAAAGTACAGTACAGGACTGAAGACACTTGCCTTGCATGTGATCGACCCTGATTTTATCCCCAGCACCACAGAGGGTTTTCCAAGTACAGCTAGGAATGATACCAAAACACTGAACCTGAAATAGTCCCTGAGCACCCTGTGGTGTGACCAAAGAATCACGGTCATGGTCCTCCTGTTGTTCATCAATTTTCTGGAGTGGGCCCCGTCTCCATCATGAAACTTATTACTGTGGTTGGCATATTGAATACGTCATGGGTAGCTTGCCAGGCTTTGCCGTGTGAGTGAAATACTCTCAGTAGCTTGCCGGGCTCTCCGAGAGGGGTGGAGTAATTGAACCCAGCTTGGCCGGGTCAGCTGTGCGCAAGGCAAACAACCTACTGCTGTGCTATCGCTCCAGCCAAAGAATCAAAAACCAAAAATAAAAAAGATCCTAAGTGACAAGAAGAGGGACTTGGGTGAAAAAAAAAAAACACAGGGCATTCTTCATAACCGTGTTGTTAAACTGAGGGCAAGACTAGCCGAAACCTGCAGTATCTCTGACCCATGGGAATTTTGAGAGGAAACTAATCATCCTCTGACACCAAATGCCTTCAAGAGACTTGTCTCGTTCTGAAGAGTGAGTTGCCCCAGAAACAGTAAAGAATTGGAAGTAGATAACTTACCATGTTCCTTGCTGTGACTCTTTGGGGTCAGTTCATTGTTGGTGCCCATCCTAGTGGACACACATAGTAAAGAAGGCCCTTCCGGGGCTGGAGTGATAGCACAGTGGGCAGGGTGTTTGCCTTGCACATGGCCAACCTGGGTTCGATTCCCAGCATCCCATATGGTCCCCTGAGCACCACCAGGGGTAATTCCTGAGTGCAGAGCCAGGAGTAACCCCTGTGCATCACCAGGTGTGACCCCCCAAAAAAAGGAAGAAAAAGAAGAAGGCTCTTCCTTCCTGAATGATGGAGACTCACAGCAGACCTGCACACCAACCCATGATTTCTTTCCTTGCAGGCAAATCACTCGGAAGGGGCGCTTTTGGAAAAGTGGTCCAAGCATCTGCATTTGGCATTAAGAAATCACCCACCTGCAGGACAGTGGCTGTAAAAATGCTGAAAGGTGAGAACACTTTCCACTGAAACAGCACTTCCCCTCAATACTGGTACAGGTTGGACTTGACTTAGGAGTGATTTCTGCTCAGACATGTGACTTTCGTCTACCAAAGGGCAGGAATTCTAGGGCAGGCCAGCAAGAGCTCAGAAGAAACCTTGTAAGCCAAACAATACACTGGTATCCTTGGAAAGGTATGCCTCTCACCATAAAGGTTTCTCTTCTCTCCTGTCATGTCCCAGATTCGAGATACTCAGGGGCTGAAACACACTCTAACCTGCAGTAACGGGACACTGGGATGTGGCAATAGAAAATCCCCCATGCCTCACCAATCCCCAAGGCCTAGCTTGGGCCTGACTTAACTATGAGTGAAACTATGAAGCTTAAACTATTTAGTTGACCAGAACTCTAGGTGATTTTAAACTCAGTCCCTACCATAAAACATCTCTTTAAGAATTACCAGACACATGGGGCTGGAGTGATAGCATAGCAGGTAGGGCATTTACCTTGCATGTGGCCGACCCGGGTTCGATTCCCAGTATCCCTGAGCACCTCGAGGGATAATTCCTGAGTGCAGAGCCAGGAGTAACCCCTATACATCGCTGGATGCGACCCGAAAAGCAAAAAAAAAAAAAAGAAGAAGAAGAAAAAAGAATTACCAGACACAATAATAACTCCTTTCTTCAAGGTTGAAAGATGTAGCCGTTCTTTCATGGGCTGACAGGGGAGCAAAACCAAAATGATCGGCCACCTGTAAGACTGAGGGGAAAAGCATCAGCAGTTGTATGAACCAAATCTGTTAAAGTTTCCTGTGTCCTCTAAAGTATCAAAAATACTTCTTAAAGGGTAGAGGGATAGTACAGTGGGCACATGCTTTGCATGTGATTAACCCAGATTCGATCCCTAGTACCTCAAATGGCTCCAGAGCACAAAGCCAGGAGTGACTGCTGAACACAGAGCCAGGAGTGTTCCAGGGCAGGCCAGTGAGATCCCTGAGCACTGTGGGTACTCCCAAACACCACTTGCGCCCTCCCACCATCCCAAGAACAGGAATTTCATTTACTTTTTTTGTACTGTCATTTTTCTGTTGGTTCAACTTTGGTTTTAAGGTTTCAAAAACAAGAAGAAATAGGACTACACAAAAAGAAATTAAAGAATGGTTTTTAGCTTTCCAAAGAGTCCAAGATATTTTCAGGGGAATTTCCATCCTGGGAAAAAGCAGGTACCTGGCATGCATGCCAAAAGAAAGGGCCATTTGTGAAGGGAGTGGCAAAATTCTTCTTCCAGTATAGCCAGGTGCAAGGCAAGAGCCCTACACACTATTCTTGCTCCAGTTCCTGGGGTGAATGAGTTCAAAGGGAAAGTTCTGACCTGAAGGGGTTTTGTATTTTCTTTTTCAATGCCCATAGGATCTTGTTTGTTTAATACAGATGTAAAGTGTGTAATCTTTATAAATGTTTGCCTTTATTGTTTAAAAGTCATTCCACTGTATAGAATTACTGAGGAGGACAACATTTTTTTTTAAATTTTTTTATTAGTGAAACTCCATGAGGTACAGTTGTAGATTTACAATTTTTTGTGCTTGGGTTTCGATTATACAATGATCAGATACCCATCCCTCCACCAGTGCCCATTTTCCACCACCATGGATAATATCCCCCCATCCCCATCCCCCCATCCCCCCCTGCCTCTGTGGCAGGGCAATCCCCTGTGTTCTCTCTCTCCTTTTGGGTGTTGTGGTCTGCAAAAGAGGCATTGAGTGGCAAACATGTTCAGGTGGACAACATTTTTATTCCACTGTATTTTTGGTTTTATTTTGGTTTGGTTTTTGTTTGGGGGGCCACACCCGGCAGTGCTCAGAGGTTACTCTGGGCTCTACATTCAGGAATCACTCTTGGTGGTACTTGAGGGACCATATGAGATGCTGGGTCAGCCACACACAAGGCAAATGCCCTCCCCGCTGTGCTCTCCCTCCAGCGATACCCCTTATTCCACTTGGTTGCATAGGTTAGTTGAACATCTGTTCCTAGGAGAAACTGAAAAGGAAGAGATACTGTCAAAGCCCTGAGTCCAAGAAGCCTTCTGAGTGTCCTTGAACAAACCTTTAGGCTTTTAGGTCAGTCACCCAGTCCACATAAGAAAGGAAATCCTGTGGTTTGTTGAACTCACAGATGTGTGTGAAGCCTCCATGGGAACCAATCCCAACCCTACGGGGAGGCTTTAGGAGCTTATCCGGCTATTACATAAAAATTATCCGTTCTTAGGAAATATTATGTTGCACTCTAATACCACAGAATTAAAGGCCCATCTCTTGGCTTGCTTCCAGAAATCAAACCCTACAGAAATACTGACATGTGTATGCAGATTAAACATCTATGGCAGCATTATTATAATAGAAAAGACCCTATATAAAGTCTACCTGGTGGTAGGGAGGCAAGACAGCAATTAGGATGTATGCCAGGCATGTGCCTGACCTGGGCTTAGTTCCCAGGTTTCTAAGTGTTTCTAAGAGACTGCCAGCACTGCTGGGGATGTGGGTATTCCAGGCACACGGGGCCCAGCAACATTGCAGCCTGGCTTGCTCTTGACCCCCAGCACAACAGGGTCCCTCAAGCATCATGAAATACAGTCTTGAAAGCCCTTGAACACCATGGGTGTTGTTTGCACCAAACTAACAGGATAGGTAAAGAATTACCACTGTGGTTCAGATACTCTAATTAGGGCCTTGATACTCTTGGGGGTACTCCTCGCACAAAACATCTGTCAGGAGTGCCATTCATCAATTTAAAGGACTGAGAAAAGTCTCAAATTAAATAGAAAATATATATACATATATAAATATAAATAAATATATATCCATATGTATATATATATATATGTATATATGGATCAGAGCAATAGTTTAGTGGGTAGGCACTCGCTTTGCTTATTCCTGGCCTGGGTTCTGATCCTCAGCAACCCGTATGGTCCCTCAATCTGTGCCAGGAGTAATTCCTGAGTGCAGAACCAGGAGTAAGCCCTGAAGGATTGCCAGATGTATACAAACAAACAAACTGAAAAAAAAAATATATATATAGCACTGCACTGTAGCACTGTAGTCTCATGTTCATCGATTTGTTCGAGCGGTCACCAGTAACGTCTCCATTGTGAGACTTGTTACTGTTTTTGGTATATTGAATATGCCATGGTAGCTTGCCAAGCACTGCTGTGAGGGCAGGATACTCTCAGTAGCTTGCTGGGCTCTCAGAGAGGGACGGAGGAATCGAACCTGGGTCAGCCATGTGCAAGGCAAATGCCCTACCCACTGTGCTATTGCTCCAGCCCATATGCATACATACATAGATACATACATATTTATATATACACACACACATATATGCGTGTGTATATATATATATATATATATATATATTCAATCTACGTAAACAAACTAAAAGAACTTTAGTCTGGGGAGATGGTACAGGGCTTAGGATGCATGTCTGGCTTGGTTTTGAACCCCAGACTAATGATCCCCCAAGCATCTCAAAGTACAGCCTTGGAAGCCTCTGAGCATCATGTGGGGTGGCCCTAGTGATCCCCATCACTGCAGGGCTGATCAGTCACCGCATTCTGGGGCCCTCAACATGAACTGCCAGCTGGTTGGCCAAGCATTGTGGAGAGGGACTCCCTGACCCCAGAGAACAGTTTGGGAGATCGCTATCCCATAGAGAACTTTGATTAAGTAACTATAAATGATTGAGAAAGATCCAAAACTCCAAATGACTAGCAATGGAGTCATTACTTCTAGGAGGGTAAATGGATTGTAGTGGCTTCTGTTTTCACTCTATAATATATCCTGTTGTTGGAGTGTCTTACAGCAAGGTTTTATATTTAAAATGTTGCAGCTAAGAGAAAGTACAGCAGGTAAGGTGCTTGCCTTTCATGCACCCAACCCTTGTTCAAACCCCGGCATCACATATGTTCTCCTGGCATCACCAGGAGTGACCCCTGAGTATATAGCCAGGTGTAAGCTTTCAGCACTGCCAGGTGTGACTCCAAAAATAAACCAAAAAAGGTAAACAATTTATAGATTATAATTAAACCATTTTAATAAAGGCTTTAGAAGTTAACCAACCAGCAAAGGCAAGCACACACGTAAATTAGGTTTTAGACTTCGCTGATTCTTCCCCTTATGGTTCTCTCTGGGAAATATGTTTGATGCTATGGGCCCGCACTCCTTGAGAGAATCCTGCAGACTAAGGTGGGGAGAAAAGAACAATGTTTACAGGGAGGACTCCTGCTCTCAGGCTCCCTGTGCTCCTTCCATGTAACCCCTCAAAGAAGAGGGAGCAAGAACCAGGGTGGGGGGTATGAGGGGCGTGTAGATACCTCCTTCCCAACCTGAGGTCTGTCTGGGCCTGGTGCTTTTGGAAGGGAATAAAGAACTTTCGTAAGATGCCCCTGGTTGCCTTGCACTGAGCCAGCCCCTGCTTGAGCTGGTCTCATTCCATCAGGAGGAAACACCCAGTGTCTAATGCCCACTGCTGCAAGCTGGGCCTGACTGTAAAGGCCAGAGGACATGGGCACAGGTTGGTGGGAGCAAGCGAAAGAGTCTGGAGCCTAGGCAGCCTGGGGAAAGGAGCCCAACGCATGTCTGGAGGGCAAGTTGGGCCCCTGATTCACTCTTCCTTGCTTCTTACACAGAGGGGGCCACAGCCAGTGAACACAAAGCTCTGATGACTGAGCTCAAGATCCTGACCCACATCGGCCACCACCTCAATGTGGTCAATCTGCTCGGAGCCTGCACCAAGCAAGGAGGTAAAGGAGAGACAGGTGTGCCTTCTCCTTGTCACAGGCCCCAGCCAATTCCTCGAACGGGTACCCCTTCGCCCACTCTCTTCCTCCTCACCTCCTAGAACTGCTTCTCTGTGTCCAGAGGAAACCCTTTTCCATTTGTGGAAGGTCTTAGAAATGCCTCTGGGGACACAAGAGCCAGTACTAGGCTTAAGTCACCCTCCTTTCATGCAGCTGACTGGTGTTTGATCCTTGATATTGCCAGAAAGTGATACCCAAGTGCAGAGCCAGGAGGAGTTCCCAGTATCACAGGGTATCCCCCAAAAATTTTGTAGAAGAAATGCTTTCCCTGTTCAGTTAATTGAAAGGTTCTCAAGAGAGATGTGGATGTAGTTCAGCCGCAGAACAATCATCTTGTGTGGGAGTGCTGCTGGCCTCTGGACTCCACAAAGTAAAGAGATCAGGGGTTAGAAAGATAGTTCAGCAGCTAAGGCGCTTGCCGGGCATGCACCTGACCCAGGTTCAATCCCTAGTATCTCATATTATCCCCCAAGTACTGCCAGGAGTAATTCCTGAGTGCAGCGCCAGGAGTGACCCCTGTGCATTTCTGGATGTGAACCTCCCCCCACCAAAAAAAAAATTTTAGCATAAAATTAATTATGAATTAACTAAAGTTTCCAAAGTAAAGCAACCCCTCCTAGATCTTCCTTCCAGATCTTTCTGCACAGGCCCAAGGTCTAAGAGAGGATTGTTTTTCTTTCTGGATGACTCTAAGGGGTGATTAAGGTAACAGCACAAAAGGGCTGTAAATCCCTAGAAGATTCCCCTGAAGCATGACTCAGGTTGGTAGGACCCTGGGAAGTGGGACTGGGAAGGACTCTAGAAGGTTCTGTCCCTTCAGACAGGCCTTACCTGCAGGGGCAGGAGCAGGGCTGTGTTAAGGACTGAGGGGCCAGCTAGCTCAGAAACCTTTTGCTCCTCCCTAGGGCCAGGTCAGTGTCTGGGTGGAAAAGCATGACAAGGGTTGGCATCAGAGAGGTGCCTAAAGCTCCAGGCATAAGAATATTGGCCAGGGTCAGCAGGGCTGCCCAGGCGGAGACTGGATGGAGAAAGTCCAACAGGAGAGACCGTGGATGAATGATGACGCAAGGGACACAGGAGAGCAGAATTGGCACCTGAGGTTGCTCTGGGATTCTTGAGGTTGACAAGGCTTCTAGAAGGTCCCACTCAAGCTTTCTGCCTCAACTTTGCATCCACTGAGCTGCCTGGGGCTGTGGAGCAGAGGTTGTGGGGAGAATTCTTTCTCTGTCCTTTGACCTTTTCTTCTTCTCCCCCACCCACTCTATCCCTCCACCCCCACTCCAGCTGTCTCCTAATCCTGTCCTGTTTATCAGACACCTCCCTTTAAGTGTGGGGAAAATACTCTCAGGCCTAAGCTCATTGGTAGCCCCGCCCCCCTGCCCCCCTCACCTCCCACCCTCCCCCAGACCCGACATATTGCTGGGAGGTGGACCTGGGCTGGCAGCACTGAGCCTGTGCTCCTTTGGCTACAGGGCCCCTGATGGTGATCGTTGAATACTGCAAATATGGAAATTTATCCAACTACCTCAAGAGCAAACGAGACTTGTTCTTTCTCAATAAGGTAAGGAGGTGAAGACTTGGAGGTTTTTAAAGATGATGAGTATTTTCCATTTCACTGAAGCATGAAGCAAGAGAAACCTGTGGTTTCCCGTATATAAACAAGCATAAGAGGCAACTTCTACTTTTCCCATTTATTTTTTCTTTGGGTTTTTTGTTTGTTTTTAAGGGCCACACCCAGATGTTCTCAGAGCTGACACTTGGCTCTGTGTTCAGGGGTCACTCCTGGTGGTGCTTGGGGGACCATATGTGGTACCGGAAATAGAACTTAAGTTGTGCTCTCAAGGCAAAAGGCTACCTGCTGTACTATTTCCCCAGACTCTGATTATTTTTTCTTCTGTGATCATCTGTCCCATTCTTTTGGTGGCTAGCACCAGGAAAATCTGATCTCTGTGTAAGCCGCAATCCAAATCTGTAGTCCAAATCACTAATTAAATTCCTATCAAATAACCTTGATACCATCATTTCTCTCTCCATATACACACGTCACTTGGCCACTTTTCCTTTTTTGTTTGAATTGTTTTGGTTTCTGGGCCAGCAGTACTCAGAGCTTAGTGCTGGCTCTGCGCTCAGGGATCACTCTGGAGGGGCTCAAGGGAACATGGGAGTGCTGGGGGTTTGAATCCAGGTGGGCCATATTCAAGGCAAATTACGCACTATGCTAATACTCTGACCCCTCGGTCACTTTTTCTCAAAGAAGAGGATAGCTAGCAATATTTGCATTTATTAGAGTCAGGAAGAACTTAGTTGAGTGACTTCACAGTCAACTGCAGAGCAGATATGGAGAGAGAGAAGTCATCTTCTCCCTCTTCCTGTTTCTCTCCCTCACTCCCACATATATAGCGACCCAGATTGCTAAAGCAAAACTGTCACGGGAACTGGGGCGATAGTACAATGCGTAAGGTGCTTGCCTTGCACACAGCCAACCTGGGTTTGATCCCTGACATCCCATAAAGTCCTCTGAGTACCACTAGGAGTGATTCCTGAATGCATAACCAGGAGTAACCCCTGACCATCACCAGATGTGACCCCAAGACCAAAACCAAAAAAATTTTTTTTTTAATTTTTAAAGGCAGACACAGATCTAAGACCCAAAAAGTAGAAAAAAGATTATCAAAAAAAGAGCAAAACTTTATCAGGGGGACATTTCCATCTGTGTAGTGACCTCCTGGGTGCTGGAGAAGTTCGGGGAGTAGAAGGGGAGTCAGTGATTCAACATTATTAACTTGCATTCGACAATGTTGGTTTTGAATCAGTCCTTGAGGAATAGTGGTTTAGGACCCAGATTCCAGAATCAAACTTCCTGGCTTTAAATCCTGACTTAAGTATACATGAAACCTGGAGGCGTGGGCAAACACTCAGGTACTCGAAGTTTCCATTTCCTCGCTTATGAAATTCAGATAGCAGCACAGAAATTGCTCAGAGGACCAGATTCAGTTAGGCTTTTTTTTAATTGAATCACCGTGAGATACACAATTATAAAGTTGTGAGAAATACAATTACAAAGATGTTCATGATTGAGTTTTAGTCATACAATGTTCCAGCATCTCTCCCTTCACCAGTGTGTGCTCAGTTAGGCATTTAATAAATGCGAGGTCTCCTCCTCATCATCATCATTTTTGACCAACTAAGTCAGGAAGAGTGAGTGAGCCCAATTAAATACCACTAACTTATAGAACCCAGACAGTGGACTAAGTGGACATCTTTGTCACAGAGCCAAAAGCCTTCAGTGGCGCACAAATAATTTTTCAGTAACAGCTGGTCCTTTTCTTGTCTTGTGTACTAACCATACATAATGGTCGTCTACCCGTCTGGTGACATATGCAAGAACTTATTTTCCCCTAATTGATAACTATGCTAGCTGTTCCTTTGATTCTTAGAATGGGGTCTTTGCCACTTTCTGGTTCACACTGTCATTCTAGCCCAGGTCCAGAGCCATCAGGTGGAAGAAACACGCTTACCGAGAGGTGAAGTCAAGCGCGTGGAGAGAACTTAGCTCTCTCAACTCCCTTCCCCGTGTTTTTTTCTGTGTCCAGAGCCAGTGTGCTTTTTAATATGCACCACACAGGATGGGGCGGGAGGACAACAAAAACTAAGGAAAAGTGGGAAGCAGTGTTCCGAACTGAGAGACACACGAATTCCCTTCAGTGCTGGAGTCCTGGGCTGGCTTCAGGAAGGACTAAGCCAGCAGAGGCCCCCAGAGACCTGGGCAGGATGGAACGTTTGGGTTCGTGCGTCCTTTGTTTTGAAGAGTTTGCTTCCTTCTTGGGCTATATTTAATGATTCACCTCCCTGTTGGTGGGACCGAGTGTTTTCATGAAAAACCAAGGACTGTGTTACATATTTGGAACTTAAAGAGAAGGTAATGGAGGCGCAGGAATCGGGGGGTGGCAGGGAGAGACCCACAGGACTACCTAGAAATGGGATACATCGTTTTGCAAATCAATTCCCAAGACTCCTGAAGAGGGATTTGTATTAAATGAATTCCCTGCACTTTGCCGGGATCACCAGAGTTCAGGAAATCAGAGATGGCTATCCAGAGGCAGGTTGGAATGGGAGTCAGGAAAGAGGGGAAGAGCTGAATTTGGGTGACTTCCAGAAGCCCAGGGAAGGGAGGCCTCAAGCCACTGTTTCCACTGAGCTGAGCCAGAAGCAGGCATGGGAGGTGGGGGAAGTGGGTGGTACCTCCGACCCCTGCCACCTTTCCTTCCCTCTGGATTCACTTCTTTTTCTTTTTGTTTGTTTGCTTGGGAGCCATACCCGGCAATGCTCAGAGGTAGCTCCTGGCTCTGCACTGGGGGAATCACTCCTGGCAGGGTTCTAAGGATCATATGGGATGCCGAGGATTGATCCCTGGTCAGCCTAGTGTAAGGAAAGCACCCTGCCTGCTGAATTATCACTACACCCCTCTTTTTTGTTGTCATTTTTGTTTGGGGGGACAACACCTAGCAGTGTTCAGGGCTTACTCTTAGTTCTGTGTTCTTGGATCACTCCTGGAGGGCTTGGGGAACCATTTGTGGTGTGGGAGATCCAACTTGAATCAGGGGCTTGCAGGCCCTTACCCACTGTACTATCCCTCCAGCCCTCACTTACTCATCCAACATCACAGAGTTCTCAGGTCTGCTCCCTGGGGTGGCAGATGGACCATTCCTGCAGGCTCGCCCTGCTCTGCTATGCCCTCTAGTGGACGCTTCTCCCTCTGGGCGACATTTCCAGGAAAAGCCAAGGAAGGGTGGGAGGAGGTGGCGCCAGGCTCACCCTGCAGGTGGATCCAGGACCACCGTGCTGAGCCCCAGGCTTCCCATGCCTTGGCTGCTATGGGCGAGGAAGCGCTAAGTGCCCAGAGTGGAAGCGCTAAGTGCCCAGAGCCCCAGTCCTCAGATGTCAAGTGCCTAACGTTAGAGTTATCACCCGGGTCACTGGAAGCGAGGACCCTGTCTTGGGAGTTCCACACCAACACAAGGGACAGAGTTGTCCTTCCCATGGGCCCAATACAGAACAGCAAAGAGTCTTTCAGAAAAGGGGAATGGAGGCAAGCTAGGTAGGTGGTTTACCTTCAGATCTCATAATTAACAGAAATGCTTGACTACAGACCCGTTCAGGGCTAAAGAAAGCTCAATTAGGATCCAACTGTTTTTTTTTTGGGGGGGGTGAGGATTTTTTATTTATTTGAGGGTTACACTCAGCAACGCTCGGGGTTATTCCTTACTCTGTGCTCAGGGATCACTCCTGGCAGGCTCAGGGGACCTTATGGGATGCTGGGGATCAAACCCAGGTCAGACACGTGCAAGGCAAGCGCCCTACCCACTGTTCTATCTCTTTAACCTCCAACTGTTTGTTTTGAATGGAGGGAACTAAAGTATCTACACTCTCCCCTTCCCCAGGAAACCAGAGAAATGGCTGGTGACAGCCTTCTCTGGCATTCCTCTAGTCGATCATAGAGGATGTCCCAAGTTCTCCTGAGGATCTTTCCTACCACACATATTCTTTCCCAGGATAGAATGTGGCATGGAAAGTTGTTATGAACCCAGACCATACAGCCAAATTCAGGTTCCAGATCAGCCAATTAGTTGCTGTGTAGGACTTTGATTACTGTGAGTTCTCTTGTTAATCAAGAACTCCTTTATAAAATTGCTGAAGATGAGAAAACAGACCCAAGATTCTTAACATCCTGATTCATGTCGATAAGGGCCAAGCAGTACCAGCTATTACTGGTATTCCTTTCGCCACCAGAAATGCTGCTGAGAATCTGAATCCAGAGCAGAACAGGGGAGAGAGAGAGAGAGAGAGAGAGAGAGAGAGAGAGAGAGAGAGAGAGAGAGAGAGAGAGAGAGAGCGCTCAGTGGGTTGAGTGCAGGCCTGGGTCTGACCCCTGGCACTGATTAAACCCACAAGCACTGAATCAGGAGTACCCCATGCACTGCCATGAGCTATCCTCAAGCCCTAGGTTGGGGTGGCTCAAAAAACAAACAAAATTGATGAAATTGGAGAGATAGTCCAGCGGGTAAGGTGCTTGACTTGCACGCAACTAACCCAGTTTTGATCCCCAGTACCCCATAGGGTCCCCCCCAGCACTGCCAGGAGTGATCCCTGAGCACAGCGAGAAGGAAGTTCTGAGCATTGCTGGGTATGGCCCAAGAAACAAAAAATAAACAAACTGAGCAGACAGAGCACCAAGCGCCAGGCAGTTTCCTCTCCACTCTTGGGAATGACAGAAGGACCGTCTCCTGCTTCGGGCTAAGGCCAGGTCCCGGTGTCCCTGGCCTGGGGCTGCCCTGGAGTTCCCTTTCATCTGTTCCTTTTTTGGGTCTGTTAAAGGATGCGGCGTTACACCTGGAGCCCAAGAAGGAGAAGATGGAGCCAGATGGGGAGCAAGTGCAGAAACAAAGACTAGAGAGCGTCACCAGCAGCGAAAGCTTCGCAAGCTCTGGCTTCCAGGAAGAGAAAAGTCTGAGCGATGTGGAGGAAGAGGAGGGTAGGTATTAATTCCTTCCTGTCCTACAGTCTGAGATATTTTTACAGCATACTGTGCATCCCTGACATTTTTTTTCTTATTATCACCCTAATAAACATCCGTGGGAGATTCGCAGGGTAATGTCCTGGGGAGATAAGATTTGAATTAAGATTATTTAGAGAGTTACTAATTTTGACAGGGAACTGGGCAATTGTCTTTCCTCCTCGGGCCCATTTGTCTGAAGGGATTGTGCCCCGCCTCCACCCCCCCCCCCCCTTGCTGGGGTCAAATGGGCTGGAGGCCTGGAAAAATCTCAGATATTCATGTTGAAACTCAAAGGCTCTTGAACATGAACTCTGATCTACTTGTTGGTTTGTTTTATGTTTTGCTAACATTGTTCCAATAAACTGGGATTTGGTGGAATAACAAGAGCCATTACAAATAGTTATGGTTTTTAATGCTTTCCAGACCCCGATGATTTCTACAAGCAGCCCATCACGATGGAAGATCTGATTTCCTACAGTTTCCAAGTGGCCAGAGGCATGGAGTTTCTGTCTTCCAGAAAGGTCAGCCTTGCTCCTTAGCGATTTTCTCTCTAGCCAGACCTGGACGCGTGTCCACACGCAGAAGCAAACACACAGCTTGATTCAACCCCACCTCCCTGGCCAAAAAAGATGCGTTGGATAAGGGCACCTGGGTGTGATCCCCAACTGTGCAGGGTACCCCAAACATGACCAGGAGCAAGCACTGAGCCCACAGAAGTCCCTTCCCCCACCACAAGTAGGAGAGTAGCCCCTTCTCCCAGCATGGGCGGGCCCCGAACGCACTAATCCTCTCTTCCTCATATTGGCGTCTATCTATGACCTCACACCAAATGCCTGCACGGGTCCCCTGGGTGTCAGCCGCTCAGAGACTGATGAGTCTCGGCTGCCAGAGGGGAGAACCTCGTGTTGGAAACCGGACAGACCTGGCAGCCATTCCCACATTGCTCGCTGGCATGTCTTCAAAACTGGCCAGACTCTCGGAGGACTCAGCTCCCCAGGAGAGAGGCTATTAATAGAGCCGGGCCGCGCCCCCACTCAGCCCAGATGGAACACGGGCCCCTCTCAGCAGCTCAGGAGGCAGTGGGGTACATGCCAGGGTCCAGCTTCATTTCCCAAGACCCCGTCCTGCACAGCCAGGGGCCACGTACACCTCTGCGTGAAGGAGGATGTTGTCTGTCTATTGGGTACTCTGTGGGTGCTGGGAGGCTGGTGACAGCCTCAGCCACTGGGTGGGGGGAGTTGCTGGGGAGAACAGGGAGACACATCGATCCCGCCACTGTCCACCTGCAGTGCATCCATCGTGACCTGGCCGCGCGGAATATTCTTTTATCTGAGAACAATGTGGTGAAGATTTGCGACTTTGGCCTGGCCCGGGATATTTACAAGAACCCTGACTATGTGAGAAAAGGAGATGTAAGTGCGTTTGATGTGTATTTGATTCATCCAGGTCCCTCTCCCCTGCCTTCTCACCACAGACCAAAGGCCTTGGTAAATATTTACACTTCCTCATCCGTGCACCCCCCATGCCCCCACCCAAAAACCTCGTGCTTTCTGTGAAGACAAGCAGTGCAGATGGTTGCGTGTCCTGAGCCCTCACGTGGGCCTGGAAAAGCCTGTGTCACCAGATTTTTGTTCAGTGATTCTGCACAGCCAACCTGAGGGAGAGCCTCCAGGGCACCCCGTGCCACCTCCCCTGGGCCCCGTGGGAGTTGCGGTGCCGCTGCAGAGAACAGTCTGCACCCTTCCCCTCAAATAACCCGGATGATTGATTCCACAGGTGCCGCCGGCTCAGGAAAGGGTGGGGGAAGGCGCGGGCTTTATCTCCTGCAGGAGGAAGCCAGCTTACCTCCCTGTCTGCCTTCCATGCCTGGAACCTTCCTGCCCACTCACACCCGTGCCTCTTCCCTGCTTGTTTGTGGACACGGTGTTATTTTTCACTCTCGTGGATGACCTCCTGTGTCCTCTCTTCTGTGGCCAGTACCCGAGACTCACCCTGGGCTCTGCCATGAGTTCTCTGCAGTGGTTCTGGAACATTCCCCAACTTCCCCTGCTCACAAATCACCTGCAGAACTTGCTCCCCTCCCCACCCCCTCGGGATTCTCATCAAGTTCATCGCCAGCTCTCAGACTTTTCTCCTCCTCCTCCTCCTCCTCCTCCTCCTCCTCCTCCTCCTCCTCCTCCTCCTCCTCCTCTTCCTCCTCCTCCTCCTCTTCCTCCTCCTCCTCCTCCTCTTCCTCCTCCTCCTCCTCCTCTTCCTCCTTCTCCTCCTCCTCCTCCTCCTCTTCCTCCTCCTCCTCCTCTTCCTCCTCCTCCTCCTCCTCTTCCTCCTTCTCCTCCTCCTCCTCCTCCTCCTCCTTCCCACCCACCCAGTGGTGTTCAGGGCTTTCTGTTCACTCTGTGCTCAGGGATCACTCCTGGCAGGACTCAGGGCTAAATGGTACCAGACCAGACATCAAACCCAGGTCAGCCACATGGAAGGCAAGAGCCCTACCTGCTGCACTACTAGCTCTTCTTTTTTTTTTTTTTATTAAGACATCATAATTTATAAAGATTTTCATAGTTGAATTTCAGGTGTACAATGTCAAATACCAACCCATCACCAGTGTCAGCTTCCCTCCACCAGTGTCCCTGGGGTCCCTCTCACTCCTCAGCCTGCCTCCTCGACAAGCACATTTTTAACTTTGGTTGTTGTTTGGGTCTCGTGCAGAAAAGGTCCCCAATCCCTCACTCTGTTACCTCCCATCTGCCTCTTCTTACTTGCCTCCTCAGTTTCTTTCCTTCCCCCTTCTCGTTTCTATAATCTAGGGCCAAGAGTATTCTCTGTATCCCCCTCTTTGATACCCTGCCTTCCCTCATTTATACACCACAGATAAGTGAGATCATCTAATATTTGTCATTCTGACTCACTTAACAAGAGATCCTCAGACTTCCCTTATCTGCATCCTCTAGCAAATTTTTTTTTCTTTTTGGGTCACACCCAGCAATGTACAGGGGTTACTCTTGGCTCTGCACTCAGGAATTACTCCTGGCGGTGCTCAGGAGACCGTATGGGATGCTGGGACTCGAACCCAGGTCGGCCGCGTGCAAGGAAAACACCCTACCCACTGAGCTATGGTTCCAGCCCCTCTTGCAAGATTTTTACAACCCTAAAGTCTTTCTCATCTGAGGGCTGGACCACAACCATGCCAAAAACATCAGGATTGTCTGAGGGGAGGACCAATGTTGGTAGTTTCAGTTTGTGAAAGTCCAGGGTACTATCTACTTTGAGAACTGGTGGAGAAAGTCTTGGGCAAGGTTGCCCCCCAAATATCTGTTCTTTGAGAGCTCCTGTCCCACCATCTCATAAGCAGGGGAAGCCAATACACTTGTGTTATTTTCTGAGCTCTGATTCACAAAAATGACACCTTTCTAACTGCCCTTCATCCCGTCCTTTTGTCTTATCCATCCACCCATGTCCCTTTCTTTCTTGGGGGACTGAGGTGTTGGGCTACACCTGGCTCTGTGCTCAGGGACCACTCTCAGGGGTCCTCTGAGAACTGTAGTGCCACAAGTCAGCTGCGTGCAAGGCAAGTACCTTATGCTAATACTGTACCTGTGTCTCCTTCCATGTTTCCCTTCCCATGCCCCCTCTCCATCGCGTTCTCTAACATTCCATTATCCCGTCCTTGATTGGTTCCCATCCCTCTGAAGTCGCAGCTCCCGGTGCCTCTCTTTCTGGCATTGCAGCTTCCAGAAAGAGAATCAAGATTTGTCTGCATGCTTGAAACCGGACACTTGTTCTCCTCAGTCTAGAGCATTCTCTGCCCATGCTTGCTCCATCCATCAATGACCTTTTAGTTTTATATACTTATTTATTTATTGAATCACCATGAGATATATAGTTACAATGTTGCTAATGATTTTCAGTCCCATGATGCTCCAACACCCAACCCTTCACTAGTCATGTTTCCTGCCACCAGTGTCCCCAGTTTCCCTCCTGCTCCACCCCCGACCCCCAGCCTGCCTCCCTAGCAGACGCTTTTATACTCTCTCTTTCTCCCTCTCCTCCTTTTTTTTTCCTTCAAAGGACTGAGTTTAGCAGTACTGTTGCTGAAATGGTATTGAGCATATCTCTTTACTTCCTTTCGGTACTCAGTTCTTATCCAGAGTGATCATCTCCAATTATCATTGTCGTAGTGGTCTCTTCTCTGCCCTGACTGCACACCTCCCACCCCTTATGACAAGCTTCCTACCATGGATGAGTCCTTCTAGCCCTTTTTCCAACTGTTCTTGGGGATTATTCTCACGCTATGTTTTTCAATGTCCTGCAAATGAGTGCTATCGTTCTGTCTGTTCCTCTCCCTCCGACAGATTTTACTCATCATGATACTGTTCATGTCCATCCACATGAAAGCACATTTCATGACTTCATTTTCCTTTGTGACTTTGTGAACTCTGTCGTTTTGTAGGAGCATGCCCTCCAAACTGTTCCTCCTTTGAAAAGATGCTCAGAAAAGCATTTGTTTTCAGGAGGCCTCCTAATGCAGATTAGTCTTTTCCAAATCCCTGAAGTTGGGATGTCCCCAGCCCTCCCCATGTCGCCCAGCACAGCTGCCTCTCTCTGTGCTTGGAAACCCTGGCTGCTCAAGGAAATAACTTCCAGGGCTATCACAGAGGCAACTCAGTGGACACTTGCCATTGAATGTACTTTGCTTTCCTGTTCTGCTCAAGGCCCCTTTGCCCTTTCTTAGACTCGACTTCCCCTGAAGTGGATGGCTCCTGAGTCCATCTTTGACAAGATCTACAGCACAAAGAGTGACGTGTGGTCCTACGGGGTTCTCCTGTGGGAGATCTTCTCCCTGGGTAAGTCAGGGGAGGGGAGGAGAGGAGCGGGGTCAGCGGGAGGGAGTTTCAGTAGCCCAGAACCAATGGGCTGGGCACCCTCTTCCGCATGTCCTGGTGTTAGACACAGTTTTGCAGTCAGCAGCTAAAATGCTGATTGAGGAATGAGAAAATGAATCCGGAATGCTGGGCCATGTGTGGCTTGGTGAGGAATCCCAGGCCAGGCTCCTGGAGGGGATTTGCGGTCAGATCTCCTGAAATCTGCATTCAACTCCTGAAATCAACTTCAGTCCCTCTGGCTAGCCCCAGCTTCGGTCACTGCTGCCTTCTTCTGATTCCTCATCAAGCTCGAGTCCTGCTGCCATTCCCTCCTCCTGCCCTGCCTCTGAGGATCTCAGGAAAACTCCCTTCTGGGCCCCCACCACCCTCAAGGGAGGGCAGGGATGGGCGGCACAGATGGCATCTCAGTGCCAGCCAGCAGCAGGCACAGGTGGGCTAGACTACTTCTGCACTTATTTTGCTTCTGATAACACCCACCCCGGGTTGCCGCAGCCCTGCTGGGGGCCCAGTCTGCAGATTTGCCCAATTCCACAGCTGTGAGAGCCCCACTCAGACACACGGACGGATACTCTGAGGCCCCCTGCGTGCAGGGGCCAGCCAAGAGCCTTTCAGACTTTGCCAAACATTGACCTTTCCGAGCCAATAAAAGTCATCCAGTAACATCCCTGGTTTCCTGGAATGTGTAAAAATCATTCCCCTGCTTTCGATGACAGGCACCTGTTGCTTCCAGTCTTTGAAAGCAGTTTGGCCGCCACAATGGCCCCAGCTCTGTGCATCTCCCAGCTGCTTCCTACCAGCAGCAAAATCACTAGAAAGAATAAACGGATGCGGAGAGAGCCAGATCCGAAGCTAAGAACAAAGCAGATCGGGGGCCTCACTCAGCCCTACCACCCCACCCCTCAGACCTAGATCCCCCCCCTAAAAAATGGAGATTCCCCCCAAGAATTCTTTCTAGGGACTTCTTGGCTTGGGGTAGGACCAAGCCAGATGGGGATCCTGTACAGTGAAAGTGGCCAAGAAAAAGTGTTACCCTCTGGTCTACAGACCCTACATCCAGCTCAGGGCCCCTCACAAGTCCTGACACCCCTCAGTTCTCCTGAGAAATGTGTTCTCCTGAGAAATGGGTCCAGTTCAGCAGTATCCACAACGCACTAACCCAAAGAATGAGTCTCTAAATGTGGGGTGTCTTTAGAATTTCTTGTGGGAGAGGGGAAGGGATGTTTCTGGTTTACCCCTTTTCTCCAAGCCAGAGGATGTTAGTGGACACAGGTCCGGCCTGAGCACCCCCAAACCACCAACCATGGTCAGGGGCCAGGGGCTGCAGGTGTGTCTGTGGGTTTCTCTGCATGAAGATCCGCCCCCCAAACTCCTGGATTATCGCCTCATGCGCAGTGCCCTGCAGAACCCTGACAGGCTCTGTCTTCTCCCGGTGTTGCCCCACCCAGGAGGGTCCCCATACCCAGGTGTGCAGATGGACGAGGATTTCTGCAGCCGCCTCAAGGATGGCATGAGGATGCGGGCCCCTGAGTACGCCACTCCGGAAATGTGAGTCTCCACTTCCTCCGGACGCTCCCCAAAGCCCCCCTCAGGGAGGGGGTGTTGTGGGGGGTGCTTAGAAGAGGAAAGAGGCTCTCCTGCTCCTGGGGGGAGGATATGCTTCCCCTTTCCCTTGCTTCACCCTTGAGAACCCCATTTCCTCCCTTGAGCATGAACTTTTCAAGTCCTCTTGCTGGCATTTGGAGTTAGGAACCCGCACCAAGCTAACAGAACACCCCCAAAAAACTGTACACAAAGCCCTGTCCACACTCACTGAGCATCAGCTGGGTGTGACGCGGATTGAGGAGTCCCCCATCCTCACCGTAGGCTGGGAGAGACGGGCTGGGGTGCAGGACCAGAGAGGGGCATTTCCTGGCTGGATTCTTATCATACTTCACAGCAGGCTGAGGGCAAGGAGGATTCTTGTGGCATGTTTTAGAACTTGGCCTTTGAGATGCTGTTCCGTGGAGGACCTGTGCCCCACACTTCCCTCTCCAGGCACCCCTCCTCACGCTTTCTCTTCAGACATGGTCTGCTCTGGCTGTTTTTGCCTGAGTCCCAGGCAGGAATGTGATGACGCGGCAGTTCTGCGGGGCTGCTGACAAGACCGGCACCACCTTTCCTGCACCCCACCCACACAATGGGGTCCTGTCAGAAGCCCCGGCATGGCCTCTAGGGAGGAGTCAGAGGGAATGAAGGAAGTGTGGGGTTGGCCCGAGAGCAAGGCCACTGTCGTCTTGCTTCAGCATCTGGCGACAAGGATAGGTCAGAGGCAGGACGAGGACACGCCTCAAGCCCTTGAGAGGCGCTTGGGAGCAGCAGTTCTCCAGGGCCTGGGGACTAGGGAAGAATGGGGACAGGAGGCGACCCCGGCAAGGAGCAGGAGGTGCACCCTGACCCAGTGCACTACAGGCCTAGAGCAGATAGGCTGGAAGTGGGGGGTACTGCGAGCAGGACCTGGTCTAACATGAGACAACTTCGCACCTCACCATGTTCTAAGTATCTCTCCCAACCCCCTCCCCCAAACACAGACATTTAAAGTTCTCAGCTGCCTTTAAAAACTGACTCTACGGGGCTTTAGTGATAGCACAGTGGGTAGGGCATTTGTCTTGCATGCGGATGATCCGGGTTCAATTCCAAGCATCCCATATGGTCCCCCAAACGCCATCAGGAGTGATTCCTGACTGCAGAGCCAGGAGTAACCTCTGAGCATCGCCGGGTGTGACCCAAAAAGTAAATTAAATAAATAAATAAATAAAAACTGACTGTGGGGATGTGAAGAATGAAAGTGAGGGGATTTATCCTCCATCAGCAGCAAGCAGGAGAGACAGATCAGAAGCTTGCAGGCCTCTATGCGTTGGATCATGGGGTTGTTACGTTCACTTTATATTCTTCAGAACTCTGTCTTTAAGGGGGATAATACAGCAAGTAAGGCACTTGCCTTGCACAAGGAGTGATCCCTGAGTGCAGAGTCAGGAGTAAGCCCTGAGCATTGCTGGGTGTGGCCCTGAAAACAAAACAAAAAACAAACAAAAAAACATGCTCAAAATAGCCATTTACCCTACTTAGGTAAGGATCTGCTAACACAAAGCTTAGATTATAACCAAAACATGAGTATCTCCTGTAATTTGTTGAATATGGTCTAAAAGCTGAAAGCAGAATGTCAGGGCTGGAGAGATAGTACAGAAGGAAGGTACTTGCCATTCATGCAGCTAACCCAGTTTCAGTCCCTGGTCCCCTGGTCCCTAAGCACTGCGAGGAGTGATCTCTGAGCACAGAGACAGGAGTAAGCCCTGAGCACTGCTGGGTGTAGCCCCAAAATTTTCTAAAAAATGAAAACAACCACAACAAAGATAAGCAGAATCCCATAATTCAACAATTGAGAAGCAAGTTCTCTGAACCTGGGTCAGGCACTTGCAAGGCAGCCCTACCCACTGTGCTATCTCTCAGGCCCCTCTCACGCATTTAAAAGGCTCAGTGTTTCCTTCTTGTTTGTGCCTGGGTGAGGTGCCATGCCCAGTGTCAGAACTGTGGCACTTGAACATGGCCAGGGACTGTGCATTAAGGAGCTCGCTGGATAGCGTGGCCAGGAGGCTCTTCCCAGAGGCCCTCAGCCTGACTTGTTTCAAGAAACCAGTTGGGTGAGGCCCCACTGTGTCTCAGTATAACCTGTTTACTCAATGATGCTCCCATGAACCTTGCCCACTACCTGTTGTATCAGATGCAACGGAATGTTTTCACTTGGCTTTTGCTTTGGTGTTGGCCAAGATGATTTGCAATGAATTTTCTGCAAGAACTCAAAATCAGGAACCAGAAAGCCATAAGCCGCTCGTTTCGGGGGGAGGCCTGGTCAGGGCCCCGGGACCCCCCCACCTGCATAGCTGTTACGGGTGGGGATCAACCCGGGGCTCCCGGTGGATGAGCTCTGCCTGTTCTCTCCAGACTCTTTTCTCTCTGTCTGGATCATCTTTCTCATGGGGGCTCCCTTTACTAGACTGTTCCTGTGTGTATTGCATACTCTCACCACTCTCGTGAGGACGGAATATGGAAACATGAGGGCCGCAGAGAGTTTTTACCCAGTAAATTACCTATCTCAGAGACAGACACTTTTGCACCCATCAGTAAAGGAATAAAATGGCTAATCTTGCTTGAAATGAGACCCAGGATGTATCGAGCCCATTATTGGGCACAGACTGCTGGAAGAGGTCCCAAGACCCCATGTATGGGTCAGGAACACACGGACCAGTAGAGCCGAGGTCTGAGCTTCACTCTAAGCTCTGCCTGGGCAGGGAGCTGGTGCACTGCTGCCTCTTCCTGTGTTTCCCAGAGAGCAGGAGAGATCCCCGAACCCTCATCTCCTCAGCACATCCCAGTGCCTGACACCGGGTTGAGCCTAGGCCGTCACAGCCTTTGGAACTTAAATTTCAGCCCACCTGCCCAGTCGTGCAGATGAAGTTAAGGGTGGCTGGGAATATGAGTTATCTGCCCATGGGAAGGTGAGGCAGGAGAATTTGTGAATAAAACATGTGCTCTTTCATCCCTTAGTCCGAGATTTTGGGTTGCTTTGTTTGAAAGCAGAACCTGAATCCCCTCCCTGTGCTTTTGGGAACATTTGCCTCTGCTTGGCAGCACCACAGAGGTTGTCTGCAGGCCACAAGAGGCCACCAATCCCCTGGGTACTGAGAATTCCAACCTGGGGCTACATCTGAACAAGGCGACTCACTCACTGGGACCACATCGTTTTGCCTCAGATTTGTTTTTATTGAAAGTTTGGACTTGCTGGGGCCAGAGCTTTGGTACCGTGCACGGTATTTGCATTACACGCAGTGGCAGGGTTGGCATCCCATATGGTCCCCCAAGCACCGCCAGGAGTAAACCCTGAGCATTGCTGAGTATGGCCTAAAAACAAACAAAAAAGTTCGTTTTTGCTTTTATCAGCTTTGGCCAACAGCGAAAGACAATGAGCAAGACAGAGCCTGGCATCACTCATTATTCCCTGGCTCTTACCTGCTGTTGTTGAGAGGTTTGAGGTGAAGAAGCTCCTTGCAGATTTCAGTTCAAGGAAAAGCCTTCTAACTGAATTAAGGGCAGTGGGCCTCTGTCAAAGCTTGAGGCCCTGGGGCTTTGCCAGCAGTGACCCACTCCCTGTGGTACTTGAGAGTCAGCAGGGTCATACTTGGTGATGTTCAGATTGGGGGGAAGTGTGCTGGCTGTCATACTCAGGGCCTTACATGTACAAGGCATGTGCCTTACCCCCTTCAACTTGCTTTGTTTTTTAACTTCTGGTTTACAGGCATTGGATTGTTGTTTTTTTTTTTTCACCAGCCACCTGAAAGCTTAGTCCATTTCACTAATGAGAATCATGATAGAAACTTTGCACGTTAACTTTGTCTTTAATTTCACTGTTTCTCATTTACCCTGCGTTTTTTTCTTTTTTCTTTTATTTTTAATCTTACCTTTTTATTGTGTTGTTAGTTTCTGGTGCTGCTTGGGGCTTATTCCTGGCTCTGTACTCAGGAATCATTCCTGTCTGACTCAGGGGACCATGAGGTGTGGGGGATTGAACCCGGGTCAGAAAGGCAAGCACCCTACTGCTCTTGCCCCTAAGTTTTCTATATTGTTACTGCCTTTATTAGTCACCTTATGTTGACTGAACCAGAATTGGGGGCCGGAGAGTTAGTACAGCAAGTAGGGCGCTTGCCTTGCATGTAGCTGACCCGACTTTGATCTTCAGCATCCCATTTAGTCCCTTGAGCCCCACCAACAGTGATTTCTGAGCACAGCCAGGTGTGGCCCAAGATAAACAGATGAAAAGAAAGAGATAGCCATATCCTTCAGAGGTGCCTGGAGCTGTGTGCTCTGTGGAAGCAGCAGAGGGAGGAATGAGAATGCTTGGGAAGCAGAGTAAACTGCCCACGAGTTGCTTTAAATTTAATAGAATTATTAACTGCTAAACAATTATTTATTATTTATAATTAATTTTGTTTATTTAAGCATTTGATAGCACAGCAGTAGGGCGTTTGCCTTGCGCGCAGCCAGCCCGGCTGAGCCAGGTTCGATTCTTCTGCCCCTCTCGGAGAGTCCGGCAAGGTACCGAGAGGATCTCGCCCACACGGCAAAGCCTGGCAAGCTACCTGTGACGTATTCGATATGCCAAACACAGTAACAAGAAGTCTCACAATGGAGACGTTACTGGGCCCGCTCAAGCAAATCGATAAACAACAGGAGGACAGTGTTTGTTTGTGTTTGTTATTTAAGCATTCAACCATTTATTATTTAATTATTCATTAAGTATTTATGATTTATTAATTATTTGTTAATTTATTGTTAATTAATGTGATAACATGTGAATTTTACCTCGCCAAAAATTTTTTTTTAAATTTTGACCATCACCCAGTGGTGCTAGCTCTGCACTCAGGAATCGCTCCTGGTGGTGCTCAGGGAACCATGCCGGGGATCAGACCTGGGCTGGCTAAGTGCAAGGCAAGTACCCATGCACTTAGGGTGCTTTTACCCGTTGTATTGGCTGGAGCGATAGCACAGTGGGTAAGGCATTTGCCTTGCATGTGGCCAACAGGGCTGACCCAGGTTCGATTTGTCTGCCCCTCTCAGAGAGCCCAGCAAGCTACTGAGAGTATCTGGCCCACGCGGCAAAGCCTGGCAAGCTCCCCGTGACGTATTCGATATGCCAAACACAGTTACAACAAGTCTCACAATGGAGACATTACTGGGCCTCGCTCGAGCAAATCAATGAACAACGGGAGGACAGTGCTACAGTGAAGTGCTTCTATCTCTGTGGCCTTTAACTGAAAAATTTTTAAACCTAAAACAAGCAACCAAAAAAAGCCCCATCTGTTATTATACACTGTGTAGCACACTATGCTATTGAGAAATTCATACATAAAATGAATATTCTGTTAGTAAGACAAAATTACACATACACACACTCACACACACAGACACACACACATACACACACGCACAAGCCCCAAAGTGGCAAGGATGGTTGAATACAGGCATTTCCCAGGCCTTCCCCAGCAACATCCAAATCCCAGCTTTCCAAGGACAGCAAATCTCTAAGAATGGAGTTTCATTTCATTCCCAGTTTCCAAGGATCTAGTCACACATTATGCATTGTTAGGAACATGGTTGGAGAATTGTTGGGTTCTCTCTTTCCAGAAACCAGTCTGACTTCCATCAATATTTACTCAGAGAGTATTTACTCAGTGCTTATCCACCAGGCACTGGGCTAGCGCAGATGTTCACCAACGCCCACTCTTAATTTTGTTTGTTTTTCTTTTGGGGTCACACCCAGCAGTGCTCAGAACTTACTCCTGGCTCTGCATTCAGGAATCGTAACTGGTGGGCTCAGGAAATTATATGGTGTGCCAGGGATTGAACCTGGGTCAGACGCATGCAAGGCAAGTGCCCTACCCACTGCATGATCTCTCTGGCCTCTAGGCCTCCTCTTATTTGAATCACCTGAGAATTCTGAAATCCCTAGTATCTTCCTAGCCATGTGACTGGGGGCTGAACCACACCATGGCATCAGAATCAACTCAGGGAGACTCAGGCTTATTCGGTGGGAAGCTTCTTTAGGCTATTCAATGCAGCAGCCCTGGGAGCCACTAGCTAGGCATGGAGGGGCAGCTTGCCCGCCCGGTGTTTATATCATCTTTTGCCCCAGATCCATCCCAATCTAATTCCGAGTTTGATCCGGGAATCAGGGTTGTGTTTCAGTGGTACAGCATAAACCTTACATGTGTGAAGCCCTTCACCATAGATTCCCAAACACTCCCCTGAGTTCTGTACCCCTGGCCCTACCAAAAAAGATTTTTGACCTGACTCCCTCAATCTGCCTTTGTAGACATGTGTCCCACCACCAGCATGCCCAAACTGCATTTTGTGGGGAGTTGGTTTGTTTTGGAGCTCACCCCACAGTGCTCAGGGCTTATCTTGATTCTGAGCTCAAGTATCAATCCTGGCAGGACTCAGGGTACCACATGGGGTCCAACGGGTCAAACCTAGGTTGGCCATATACAGGGCAAGCACCTTACCCAATACGCTATCACTCTGGTCCCCCAAACAGCCTGTATGCTTCACAGCCAAGTATAAAAATGGGAGCAAATATTATGAACTACAAGAATCATCTTCTATTTTGCTTTGTTTTGGGGCCACACCCATAGATACTCAGGGTCTCACCTGAATCTTCTCCGATCACTCCAGTCAGTGCTTGGTGGTGGCAAGGGGCCGGGGGGCAATGGGGTGCTGTGATTCATACCTGGGTCTGTATACAAGGCAAGACAGAACCTGCTTTTCCGTCCCTCCATCCTCAGAACAATCATCTGATATATAAGGTTCCCCATCCCTCAGCTACTCTGTGGGGCAATGTAGTCAGCTCTCAATTTTTCTTTTACCCCATAGCTACCAGATTATGCTGGACTGCTGGCACAAAGATCCAAAGGAAAGGCCAAGGTTTGCAGAACTTGTGGAAAAACTGGGTGATTTACTTCAAGCAAATGTACAACAGGTAACACTACATTTATCTAGAATGAACCGAAGGCCATCTTTGAATGTATGTCAAAGGGAAGGTTATCTATTTTTTTTATATTTCTTGTTTGTTTTGGGGCCATACCGATGCTCAAGGTTTACTCCTGACTTTCAATTCAGGGATCACTCTTGGTGGGCTTGGGGGACCATAAGAGGTGCCAAGGATTGAACCCGGGTCAGCTGCAAGCACCCTACCCACTGTCCCATTGTTCCAGCCCTACTGTTTTAATAGTTACTACCAGGACAGCTACAATTAGGGGCTGGAGCACCTTGCACGTGGCTGAACCGGGTTTGACCCCTGAGCAACACCGGGTATGACCCCCCCCAATAAATAAAAACAGTCATTATAAACAAACGTATCAAGTGGGGAGGAAGAAGAGAACAGAAGTAATGGGTTAACAGGCATCAGGGCTTCAGTTATATTGGTGATATGAATGGTATAGGAGCCATATACCCAAAACACAGATTCAATAGAACTGAAGACATGAGATCTACGTGACAACCACTGGAACTTTGCAATGTGCCTGTCAAGTTGACAAGTGGGGGTGGAGTGGGGGTTGGGATGGGAAGGGAATCTAGGAACATGTGGAGAGAAATTGACATTGGTGGAGGGATTAATGTTGAATTATTGTATATCTAAAACTCAACTATCAGTAACTTTGTAAAACATTGCTCTTTTTTAATTAAAAAATAAAATAAAATTTGGTAAAAAAAAAAACCAACCTCAAAAATACATACGTGTGCACAGAATTATCTTTCCTGAATACAACCAAGATTGTATTAGAAGTGACATAGTGGAAGCTCATATGACAATTCACAGAAATAGATTTAAGTAGAAATTGTGCAATCTTTCCTTGGTCTTCCAGGATGGTAAAGATTACATTCCGCTAAATGCCATACTGACCGGAAATAGTGGGTTTACTTACTCAACTCCTGCCTTCTCTGAGGACTTCTTCAAGGAAGATACTTCAACTCCAAAGTTTAATCCAGAAAGTTCTGATGATGTTAGGTAAGGTCTTTTCTTCCCCAACTTTCCTTTGCATACTTTTGAGACATACAATGCCTGCTTCCTGCTTTACATTTCCCACTATACTCCATGTTTTTCTTTGCTTTTTACTCAACCTTTTCAAAGGGGGTGTTAAGAAGATGATACTTTATTTCCAAATACTTTGGTCTACAAGGATTCCAAAAACCTATGAGTCATCTTACAAGTATTCCTACATAATCACACCAAAAATATCACATGAGGGGCCAAAAAGGTAGGACAGCGGTACGGGCCAACCTATGTTCGTTCCCCAATACCACATATAGTCCCCTGAACCCTACCAGTAGTGATCCCAAATTACAGAAACAGGAATAAGTCCTGAACACTGCTGAATGTAGTCCAAAAACCAAAAAATGAAAAAAAATCACATGAAAGAAATAGATGATGATTCCATATATTGTCAAATATTCAAATTTCCTAATTTCCCTTAGACATCTTCCATCATACTTTCTTAAAAATCAGAATACAAGGCTGGGGAAATAGAACAGCAGACACGACAACACTGGCCTTGCATTCAGCCCAGCTGGGTTTGATCCCTGGAACCACATATAGTCCTCTGAGCCCTGCCAGGAGTAATCACTAAGCACAGAGCCAAGAGTAAGCCCTGAGCACCTCTGTGTGTGGCAAAAAAATTAATCCTAATTTTTTTACAGCTAAGTAATACATTGTACTTTTTCCCGTATCTTTAGTCATCCACAAGGATATTCCGTCCATCTTTTTTTTCTTCCTAATACTATTGACTTCATCATGAGATCTAAACAACCAAAAAAAACCAAAAAAACAGACTAGATTTTTTTCCCCCTTTCCTAAGAAACTAGTGTCTCTCTCCTCACTGTGGAGAAGATTGGAGAGGGGAGAAAGGAAAGCCATTTGAGCTGGGAGAAGTGTATTCAGTACTAATTTAGGCTCTGGTGCACCCAAGTACAGTGGCCTCTCAGACAATGCCTGTGGTCTGTACTAGATTCTTTGCATATGTCAACTCCTTTCATGCTCAAAATAATCCTATGAAATCAATTATTTTTCTTGTTGTACAAATACGAGCCTTAAGGTTCCATGGAGAAGAGCTTGCCAAAATCACTTGGCTAGGAACTGATTAGATCTAAGTAGGCGTTCTGACACTCTCTCCATTCTGATGATGTTTGGACACATGAAGGACCTTCACACTATCCTGTGAGCCTCCAAGCATCTTTATCTGTAGTAGGCACAACCTGAAGCTTTAGACTTCCTTTCAGCCAGACTTGGCAAGTGGCCAGGGAGGGCTGGGGAAGCTCTCAGCACTCTGCAGAAGTCGATACTCATCTTGAACTGGCAGAGAAGCCCTGAGTCCAGCCCAGATTTGTGGTCAGGGCTTTGCTGAGGAGTGGCAACTTTCAAGCCATACAACTGGCCTTCAAGGCTGACACAGATGAGTCACTCTATTATCTTTTTCAGATGAGAAAACAAGCTTGGATCAAATAGATTACTAGAGCCTTTCGGGGGACAGGGTCAGAGGTGAGGCAGAGAATAACGGGTTCTTTCCAGTACATTGCTTAGATATATGCCCAATAAGGAGCTTGCTTTAAAAAAAAAAAGATGGGGCCTTTTGGATGGTGATGGTATCAGACCAAGAAATTCAATCAATAGGTGAATTTGCTTTATGAGTAACTATCGTATCTCTGATGGCTTCTCCCAATTGATCATTAAAAAAGGTCAATAGGGGCTGGAGCCATAGCACAGCAGGTAGGGCATTTGCCTTGCATGCAGCTGACCTGGGTTCGATTCCCAGCATCTCATATGGTCCCCTGTGCACTGCCAGGAGTGATTCCTGAATGCAGAGCCAGGAGGAACCCCTGAGCATTGCCAGGTGTGACCCAAAACGCAAAAAAAAAAAAGGTCAATAGGTTGTTCCTGGGAAATCACACTGGTATCAGCCAGTTCCCCCAATCTGTAACTACAGAGCAGTATATACAAGATGGCTTCAAGTGTACAACTCTGCTATTGAATCAACTGTGTGAGCTTGTCAGATCATTTCATTTATTACCTCCCATCTTTTAGCAAGTAAGCTACTACAAGGAATCAAATCCATTGTTTATTTCTGCTGTTAAAAGGGTGCTTAGACCAGACTATGCTTCTGTAGGCCTGATGTTTCTTGATTCTGCAAGGCACCAGAGGCTGATCGACTGCTGAGTCTCTTAAGGATCTCTGAGATTTTGCTTGAAATTATGCAGCACAACAATCAGGAAAGGAAGTGTTTTACTGTTAGGACTCCTAGAGGAACCCAACAGAATGTCAGCCTTCTAAGGAATTAGGTGACCTCCTGGTCTTATACATCTTAGCTGAGAAATGACGGGGAAGCGGAGCTTGAGTCTGGCGCCTTAGCACAGCGGGTAGGGCATTTGCCTTGCAAGCAGCCAACATGGCCGACCCGAGTTTGATTCCTCTGCCCCTCTCGGAGAGCCCGGCAAGCTACCGAGAGGATCTCGCCCACACGGCAAAGTCTGGCAAGCTACCCGTGACGTATTCGATATGCCAAACACAGTAACAACAAGTCTCAAAATGGAGATGTTACTGGGCCCGCTCGAGCAAATCGATGAACAACGGGAAGACAGTGACAGTGACAGCTGAGAAATGATACTATGGTTTCTTCACTATTGGGCGTTGGATGCATTTTCTTGTACAGAATAATTTCTCCTCTTTTTCCTTAGATATGTAAATGCTTTCAACTTCATGAGCGTGGAAAGAATCAAAACCTTTGAGGAACTCTCGCCAAAGGTCACCTCCATGCTTGATGTAAGTAGCAGAATGAACTCATTGCCAGAGTCCATTCAAACACAGTTCCTGAATCCCAGTAGCTCTCAGTCATCAGTGGTGACTGGCTTGGTGTCTCACTAACTAACCACTAGCTAATGCTGTGTGAATGTGAAAGAAAGATTCCAGAGCTGAAGGTGAGCCTGCACTCACTCCAGGTCCAAGTACTTGCCTGATCATAACTTAGTCCTTTAGGAAACCACACCATGTTTTGTAAGAGTTTCAAAGAGTCTTGGGTCTCTGTAATGGAAGCTTCCTTTCAGAATAACTGAGAAATTCAGATATGAGTGAGGGGCTGGGCCTGTGTGGCAGGATAAAAGCTTTCTTTGGAGTGCAGCCTCAAGATCCTGAAATTGCTTCCCATGAGAATTCTAGAGGCTGAGCCGCTGCGTCCCTGCCATCTGCTATACAGCCTGACAAGCAGAAGGCCTCAACCAGCTGTTCCTTTAGAACCCTGGGACACAAGGTCAAAATCAGCAGTGGGGGAGAATGTGCACCTCTGCTCACTCAGATATGGACACCCCATGGAGGCTGGAGTTCCCTCGGTATTTTCATCTTGGCCACCCGAAAACATACCCAAGAGCCAGTAGTCAACTGCCAAAATTAATTTCAATATGTTTATGGAGTCATTTGCATCAAGTTTTGTATGAAACATTTTCTGTAGGTCTCCCTTTCGTTTAATCTTTATCTTGAGGAGGAAAGGCAAGGATACCTTGGAATCATGGGGGACAGGTATTTCTTGGAGTCAATTCTATAATTGCTGATGTGGAGAAAATGTCTTGTTGAAACAAGCAGCTTTGTGGAAGGAGTGTGCTCCCCAAGCAGACTGGGGGTGGTGGAGCCCGTGGGTCAAACAGGAAGTCTAAGTTCTTCCTTCTCTCCAGGATTACCGGATGGACCACGGCACCCTGCTGGCCTCGCCCTTGCTGAAGCGCTTCACCTGGACTGAGAGCAAACCCAAGTCCTCGCTCAAGTTTGAGTAAGGAAGCCGCTATGTCTCCTGTGACCCACTGATGGGAGGGTGCAAGGGAAGGTGGGGAAGACTTCATGGAAAGGCTCTTCCTTCATGGGGAGACTTCAGGGCTCTTGGTCAGACTGAACTCTAGTGTCCAGAAAAGCACAGAGACAGAATTTTATTTTTATTTTTTTATTAGTGAAACACCATGAGGTACAGTTGTAGATTTACAATTTTTTTGTGCTTGGGTTTCGATTATACAATGATCAAATACCCATCCCTCCACCAGTACCCATTTTCCACCACCATGGATAATATGGATAATATCCCTCCCACCCCCGTCCCCCTCATCCCACCCTGCCTCTGTGGCAGGGCATTCCCTTTTGTTCTCTCTCTCCTTTTGGGTGTTGTAGTCTGCAAAAGAGGCATTGAGTGGCAAACATGTTCAGTCCATAGTCTACTTTTGACATGCATCTCCCCTCCTGGGAGGATCCTCCAAACACCCTTTATTTGGTGCTCCCTTCTCTATCTGAGCTGCCCTTTCGCCTAGAATACCCGGCTGGCCTCTAAGCTATGGAGTAATCCTCCTGGTGCTGATCTCAGCTATTCTTGGGTATTAACCTCATATTTTGTTACTTTATATCCCCTGGATGAATGCAGTCTTTCTATGTATATCCCTCTCTTTCTGACTCATTTCGCTTAGCATGATACTTTCCATGTTGTACCACTTGTATGTAAATTTCATGACTTCATCTTTTCTAACAGCTACATAGTATTCCATTGTGTGGATGTACCAAAGTTTGTTTAACCAGTCATCTGTTCTTGGGCATTCAGGTTTCTTCCAGTTTCTGGCTATTGCAATGAACAAACAAGTGCAGATGTCACTTCGACTACACATTTTTGCCTCTCTGGGATATATTCCCAGGAGTGGTATTGCTGGGTCAAATGGGAGCTCAATTTCTAATTTTTTGAGAATCGTCCATACTGTTTTCCAGAAGGGCTGAACCAGTCAACATTCCCACCAACAGTGAAGGAGTGAGGGACAGAATCTTAAAGAGAGATGAACATGGAGATCTCTGAGCACAGAGCCGGGAAGGAAGATTGAAGTTTAAGAAAATTTAGCAAGGACAGGCCAGTGCAACCCATGAAGCATGTGGCTCTGTGGAAAGGAACTGCGTGTGCCTATCAGTCAACAGGGAGACTGCTCATGGGAGCAGGAAGACCGAGCTTGGCCATTGCTATAAGCCCAAGCCAGCCACTTTTACCAGGGCCTAAGACATGCCATCCTGGCCGTGCCCTTCTGAGTGAAGGCTCCTGCTGTAGTCCACACACCATCAACAACAGTCACTGGCAGTGACTGGCACCCAGTTTACTGTCCACTGGCCCTGAGTTTCATTTTCGGCACCGCAGGCTTCTCCAGACTTGGAAATAGTACAGGCACTCTTACACAGTCCTCTTCTACTTTGCTGATGCCCAGAACGTACAATTTCATAGGGAGAGAAATTAGAGCAGTGGTTATCTATGGCTGGAGATGAAGAATGGGAAGAGGAGTGATTGGCTTAATAATAGGGATTTGGCGGGGTGGGGGAGAATGATAAAATCATTTGAAAACTGATTGTGGTGTCGGTGTGTCATCTAAGGATATACTAGAATCCACTGACCTGCATAATTTTAATTGGTGAGTTATAAATCATTTCTTTCAAATCATTTGAGTACATTGCAAATGATCTTTCAAGAGGAGGCACAGCACAGTAAGTAGAGTGCTTGCCCTACAAGCAGCTTATCTGGGTTCAACCCCTGGCACCCCACAAAATTCCAAGTACCACCGAGAGTGATCCCTGAGCACAGAGCCAGGAGTAAGCCCTGAGCATTGCAGGTGTGGCCCCAAAACAAAAAGCAATCAATCCCCTCCAGAAAGATCTCTTCATAAAACTGTCATGAAAAAACAAACAGGACAAGAGAGGTGGTCCAGGAGTTAAGGTGCTTTCTTTCCTTACATGGGGTAAAAGTGGTTTGTTCTCCAGCACCGCATTGCGGGGTATAGCCCTGTTACACCACCAGGGGGACCTGGGGATCCCCACATCATTCGGCCCTTGCCTGAACCAAAGGCCTGTCTGTCCTGGAAGGAGCCCCAGGCACCTGAGCAATGCTGAGAAACCCAACAGACCAACCAATAAAACTCGCACCAGGGCTAGGCAACATGTTCAAGCTGTGAAACTTGCAGGAGCCCTGGATTCGATCTCTTTGTACAAAAGAGAAACTACCAAACATCACAGCACAGGCTGTATAGTTTTCTGACCTGACATAAACCAAAAGATGACAACAGATGCCCACCGCCCTCCCAGTGCTGTATTTAAAACTGCTTGTTGCTCTTTAATTAAAAAAAAATAATAGTAATTTTTAAAAAGCCTGTTCATCAGGGGCTGGAGCAGTAGTGCAGCAGGTAGGAATCCAACCCAGGTTGGATCCCTGGCACCCCATATGGTCCCCTGAGTATCACCAGGAGTGATCCCTGAGCACAGAGCCAGGAGTAAACCCTCTTTCTTAGCCTCAAACTGCTTGCATGCTCTGGGGTTCCTTTCTTCACAGACATCTAGCTAAGAGCAGCACTTATGTTCCAAAGTATTCTGAGAGAGGGAACAAAAGAATGTAGCATCCGGCTTTCTCCCTCATCCACTAGCTCCCTCCCTTCGTACTGCCACCCAGCATAGTGCGAACACCGTGTTCATGTTAAAAGAACTAACCTGCAGGTGTGTGCAAGCATTTCTATTCTTTCATGTTTTACTCACAGTTGATGAGCAGGGTTGGTTTGTTTGGGGCTGGGGTGGGGGGGTGCACCTAGCAGTGCTCAGGGTTTACTCCTGGCTCTGTGCTCAGAGCAATCCTCCTGGACTACTGTCCTTGGGTTTTAGTCTCATATTATGTTTATATTCCACAAATGAGTGCAATCATTCTATTTGTCCCTCCCTTTCTGACTCATTTCACTTAGCATGATACTCTCCAAGCACATCCACTTGTAAAGCAAATTTCATGATTTCTTTCCTAACAGCGGGTAGGGCGTTCGCCTTACAAGCGGCCAACATGGCCGACCCGAGTTCGATTCCTCCGCCCCTCTCGGAGAGCCCGGCAAGCTACCGGGAGTATTCGATATGCCAGACACAGTAACAACAAAGTCTCCAATGGAGACGTTACTGGGCCCGCTCGAGCAAATCGACGATCAACGGGAGGGCCTTTACCTTTTACCTTACCTTAACATCTGCATAGTATTCCATTGTGTAGATGTATCAAAGTTTCCTTAACCAGTCATCTGTTCTCGGGCACTCTGGTTGTTTCCAGATTCTGGCTATTGTGAATAGTGCTGCAATGAACATACAGTGTAGATGTCATTTCTACTTGCACCCCCAGGATATATTCCCAGAAGTAGTATTGCTGGGTCATATGGAAGCTCTAGTTTTTTGAGGAATGCCCATATTGTTTTCCAGAAATGCTGGACCAGTTGGCATTCCCACCAACAACGAGAGTCTCTTTATTCCCACATCTGCACCAGCACTGGTTATTCTTGTTCTTTTTGATGTGTGCCAGTCTGTGGTATAAGATAGCTCATTGTTGCTTTGATTTGCCTCTCCCTGATGATTAATGATGTAGATGTAGATGATTAGTGATGTGCCTTTTGGCCATTTGTATTTCTTGAGGAAGTTTCTGTTCATTTCTTCTCCCCATTTTTTGATGAAGTTGGAGGTTTTCTTGTACAGTTCTAGTACTGTCATGTATATCCTGGATATTAACCCCTTACCTGATGGGTACTGGGTAAATAATTTCTTTCATTCCATAGGCTGTCTCTGTGTTTTGGTCATTATTTCTTTTGAGGTACCTTGCACATGGTTGACCCAGGTTATATCCCTGGTACCATATATGGTACCCCAAACCCTGCGAGGAGTGATTCCTGAGCACAAAGCCCGGAGTAAGCCCTGAGCAATGCCAGGCATGGGCCCAAAAGCAAGCAAGCAAACAAACCTGATGGCCCCAAAGTAGCTTCGTCTTCCTCATGTATCTGCTCTAGGGTTGGTCGTACACGTAGAGCCCAGAAATCTCTTCCTCTGATCATCTACAGCCTCCTGACTTGCTTTCTCTTCTAGAACACAGAGACCAAATCACTCTAAGCTTTTATCAGGAAGCTGTTTTCTGAGATTTGGAACAAATGGACTGCAAACTTGCTAGCTTAAAACAGAGTTATTCTCTTGGTTCTGGAATCCAAATCAAGAAGTCCTTCATTTCATCAATCTATTTTTCCTAATGGGGGAGATGGGGAGAGAGTGGGCTCCCAAGTAGTGCTTGAAAGTTCCCAGGGCCACCCTGGTGACACTTGGCCAATTTGGTGGGATGGCTCAATGCTGGGGCCACCAGAACTGTGGGGGGTTGGGGAAGGGTGGAGCAAGAGATATCAAACATCAGACTTGGTTCCTGTACATGCAAGACAAGTATCCCTACCCCTGAGCTGTTTTCCCAGCCCAAGTACTCCCCCCCCCCCCCCCCCACACACACACACAGACATATATTTTGGCCACTCCAGAGGTGCTGGTAATCAAACCCCTTGATCATTTCCCAACCTTGTGTTTTGGTTTTTTTTTTTTTTTGCTTTTTGGGTCACACCTGGCAATGCACAGGTGTTATTCCTGGCTCATGCACTCAGGAATTACTCCTGGCAGTGCTCAGGGGACCATATGGGATGCTGGGACTCGAACCCAGGTCGGCCTCGTGCAAGGCAAACACCCTACCCGCTGTGCTATAGCTCCAGTCCCTAACCTTTTGTTTTTAATTTTTTAAAGATTATTGTTGTTGTTTGATTGGGAGGCCACATCCACGGGTGCTCAGGGCTTTCTCCTGGCTGTACTTAGGGATCACTCCTAGTAGGACTCAGGGGACTATATGTGATACCAGAGATTGAACCAGGCCCAGCCACAGGAAAGGCAAGAGCCTTAACCCCTGTACCATCTCTCCAGCCTCAGTAAGTGACATTTTCCAGCCTACCCAAGTCTTGGAGTTGATTTCCACCTAGAATTCGGGGCTGGCATGATCCTCCCTGCCAGCAGCCCAGGAGTATCAGGCTGTGGACAGGGGACCTACTCAGAAACGGAGATGGGAACCCGTGGCTGCCAACTCTAGGGCAGTTCTCAATAAATGGCCTGCAAACTAAGAGTGGAATCTAGGGTTTACTTTTTAAGAAACCAATGTCAAACCACAGTTGACCTTCTTTCCACTATTCTCTAGCTTGAGAGTGACCAGCAAGAGCAAGGAGTCTGGACTTTCTGACCTCACCAGGCCTCCTCCCTGCCATGCCAGCTGTGGGCACATCCAGAAAGACCATCGCAGATTCACCTACGACAACTCAGAGCTGGAGAAGATCCCATGCTGTTCTCCTCCCCCAGACTACAACTCGGTGGTCTTATATTCCACCCCACCTGTCTAGAGTGTGACACACACAGCCTTACTTCTAGAACCACGTGTGTAGTTATACCCCAGAAAACTAGCTTCCGCCAGTATTATACATATATCAAATTCACACCTTTCCCTATCCACAGCAGTATTTTCCCCTTTTGACTAACAAGAATGTAACCCCAGATAAATCGTGACAAGTGAGGAATACTACTGCCAAACCCTCCCGTGACTGCCAAACTCCTCTCGAGACAGCTTTTCAAAGGACTGCCCTCCTCCTACTCTAGAGTGCTCAGGTAGTGGGTCTGGTGGGGGGTGGGGGGGAACTCAGGAGGTGTACCCGGTCACGTGGTGCAGTGTGGGCTCCATGGAGCCTAGGCTGTCGCCCTAGACCCAGCAGCTGCCACAGCCAAGTCTGCTGTCTCTAGTGGACAAGGGCATCACAGGAAAGGAAAATGAGGAGGGGAGAGAGACGAGGGAAACAGCCAGTGCAGGAGGAAGAACTTGAGCCAGACACAAGCATAGGGAGTGGGAGAGGGATGTGATAGCAGCAATGCTTCTCCAGGGGCTGCCACACACTCTCCCAACCCAGCTCCCTTTGAGAACCCAGCCGTGGAGCAGACAGCAAAGAAGGACAGGGGGACATTTTAAGGCACATTGAGATGCCAAAGTTTTAAAACTTTGTCCACAGGGCTAGGTCTGTCCCCACTGCTACACTTGGCACATTTTTGTTGTTTTGTTTGCATTCTAGCACTGGGGCGATGCTCGAGTCTCAGCCTGCACAGCTGGGTCTTCTAGCAAAAAACACTGGAATCTTACCGTGAGCTAAGTTGGGGCCATGTGGTGGCCTGACACTGGGCATACTGTGCATTGTGAGATGACTGGAAGTAGTTCTGTCTGTTAGGAGTATCTGTGGGGCTTAAATCCACTTTCAGACACAATGCCAGAATCTGATTATTCATGTAAAGATGCCTAACTCAGTTTCTTCTATTAGCCTGTATCATAGTTATAAAAGGAAGCCGAAAATAGAAATGCTATCATGCAAAAGGATTTCAGTGAAACTAGGAAAGACAGAATTTAGGAATTTGAAAGGAAAGATAAGAGGAAAATATGATATAAGATTTATTATTAAATCTCCATACCTACCAGACCAACTCTGAAACATTTGGGGCTGAACAAGGCATAGGAAGCCAATCTGATTTTCTTTTCACGTAAGAGGAGTCTCTAATTGCATGTTAGACTCCTGGAAGGAAAGGGAAGAACACCAACCAATGTTTGATTAAGCACTTTATGCTCCTTTGAGAAGAAATAAAGGTGGTATGTATGTGATTTATGTCCTAATTGGGACTCAGGATATGAGTGTTGAGCCAACATTCAGAGAAAAGCCTCTTTTCCTCTGATTTGGACTGGGCATTATGTCCAAGGATGATGGAAACTGGAAGACAGGGTACAGAGTGCCTACTCTGGTGTAAAGACCCCTGTGCCCTGGACCCCAACGGGTTCTTCGATGCACTTAGAATGTCTGCCTCTCTGAAGTCACTGACAAAGTGAATTGCTGCTTCTGGTGGAGAAAGTCTAGGCTTCCCTTCATATGTGTAATGGAACTAACTCTAAAGTCTGTGACAGAATAGAAGAATCATTTGGAAGTTTCTTTGTATGAAGAGATGGGAGAGCCAGCAGATCCCAAATGAGATAGTGGGTGCTTCAGTGTGTGTGTGGGGGGGGGGGGGGTACAGGGGAGTACTGAGGGGGTGGACCTGCTGCAGTTGTCAGGCCTCTTTGACCAAGAGCCACCAAGTACCACCAACCAGGTCAGAGCTAGTAAAGAAAAGCTTTGTTCTTCACATACCCATACAAGCACACATTACCCCTGGAAGTACAGAATAATCAGGTAAGCAGACACAGAGGGAGGCCTCCATGCATTCTCTTCTACCTTTCAAATCAGAAAAGGCGCAAGCCACCAGTGATGACAAAAAACCCTAGCTGTATGTAAATGTCTAATTTCAGTCATCTTAATTCTTAAGAGACCTTAGAGATACCACCTTTCTAAATTTTGGGGGAGGGGGCATACCCAGCTGTCTCAGGGGTTACTCCTGGCTCTGCACTCAGGGATCACTCCTGGCAATGCTCGGAGGACCATATGGGGTGTGGAGGTTGAAGCCAGGTAGGTCACATGCAAGACAAATGCCCTATCCTCTGTACTACTGCTCAGGCCCCAAATGTATTTTTTTTTTTAATAAAAACCTATTAGGATAATCCAGCTTCTTCAAAGACTCAGGTTTCATAGCCTCCATGAGCCCATCAGTTAAAAACTAGCTCTATGTATTTTAACATAGAAAGGAAAACAGAAGCAGGTAATAGGGAGTAGCAGTGCTGGCTCATTAAAACAGATGAGTCCAACACTACCTGATATTAAAACCATCCACCACTTATACCAAAAATGGTCAGCATTAATAAAGACCAACCACTTGCAGGATTTCTAGGATAATGTACTTGTAGCAGTGTGAGAGGAACAAGTCTGAAAGTCCGTATCAGTCTGAAAAACGATGCTCAGGCTTTCATAGCACTGTTAGGAACAAATATGTCCCAATCCTAAAAAATGTGAGCAGGTCTGCTAGCTCTGCCTTATTTCCCAGCCCATGAGAATGTCAAACATCAAACAGCTGCCAATGCCTTTCAACTGATTAAAGAGCACATCTGCCAGTGATAGCAACTGTATATGTATATATATATATGTATGTATGTGTGTGTTGAGCTTAACTATTTAAGGAAACTGGAATTTTAAAGTTACTTTTATACAAATCAAGAATGTATGCTGCCAATAGAAGACATAAAATATAAGACATAAGTTGATCTTACACCTCTAGTCACTCTGAATGTATTTTGTATACTATCTTCATATAATAAAATTAACTTCCAGAAAAATATACATGGTTTCTGACTTGCTTATAAAAACAGGGGTCAGTGGCTTTCCTGGGGAAAAGGTGGGCTGTGTGTAAAAAGATCCCATTAATGCTATTTATTAAAAGCAGCAGCAAGAAAATAAAGCACCAGCAAAGGGCTTCTGGTTGGTATTACACACTGACTGCTCAGGTCAGGGAGATGACTCAAAGGGTCAGGTACAGTCCATGGTCCCTGAGCACTGCTGGGCTTGACCCAAAAGTCAAAAACTGGCTGTTGTAAACACTTGGGAGACTGAAAAGTCCATCAAAATCAAAATAAAGTTAAGCACATTGCCCAGAAAATTAAAACCACCTCAGTAAAATCACAAGTACAATGTATAGACTGAGAACTGACTATAAGCACTGCCTGCAGATAAAAATGCTATTAAAAAAAAAAAGGAGGTCAGATAAAATAACCAGGCATATGGGGGGGGGGGGGTGGAGAGGAGGAGGAGGAGGAGGAGGAGGAGGAAGAAGAAGGCAAGAAAAAGATCATGAACAGTAGGTTTATGGTTGACTGGTGAGGGCATAAGTCATTTTTATCTTCAAGAATCTGAAGTACTTTAAAAACAATGGTTTTCGGAACTCAGAAGTCAGTCATCAAATTTGGTTTTGTTATTTTTTTCCATCAGGGGCACACCCAGCAGTACTCAGGGCTTCCCTGAGGTCACGCTCATGGGACCAGATGGGGTGCCAGGGATCAAACCAGGGTCGGCCACGTGCAAGGCAAGTGCCCTATCCCCAACACTCTCTACAGACTAGGCAAGGTATTTGAAGAATGCACAAGAAATTGATACCATGTCATAGTTAAGAAATTTTCTCATGACTCTGGAAACTTATAGTACATTTGGGAATTCATGTTTTTCTTTCCCCAGAACAGTTCAGTAAGGCTGATCATTCCTGGTGTTAAACTTATTACTCAGACTTAAAAGTTTCACAGACCAGGAAAAATTATTGAAAAAACCCTGGGTCCAAATACAGAGATGACTAACCTTCATTAAAAAAATAAATAAAAAACAAAGGACAATTAAGGGAGAAAAAAAAGATAATACAGACCTCTGTCCCCCAAGCAGAAGTAGATATCACGAATGTTCTATGTGTGTGCATACATGTTGTTATATTGCATTTTTAACACACAACCATCAGAGGTTTTGTTTTCTTTTTGCTTTTTGGGTCACTCCTGGCTCTGCACTCAGATGGGATGCTGGGAATCGAACCCGGGTCAGCTGCGTGCAAGGCAAGCACCCTACCCACTGTGCTATTGCTCCAGCCCTGACCATCAGAGGTTTTTATGACAACTGGAGGCTGGAGGTAAAGGGGAATAGGTATGCAGGTACTTAAGTTACCTAATAAAGTCTATCTCCACCCAAAACAAAGATGGTGTACTACCATTATGTTAAGCTTTTAAAAAATATGCTAATTGAGGGCTGGAGCTATAGCACAGCGAGAGGTCATTTGCCTTGCTTGTGTTTGACCTGGGTGGGTTCGATTCCCTGCATCCCCTTTAGTCCCCGAGTACAGCCAGGAGTAATTCCTGGGTGCAAAGCCAGAAGTAACCCCTGAGCATCACCGGGTGTGACCCAAAAAGCCAAAAAATAATAATAAATAAAAGCTAGTATAGTTTAAAAGCAGGGTGTAACAAAGTGCGATGAAATGCATGCAGCAACTCATTAAACTATTAACTGTAAATTTATTGTATGGTTTGGGGGCCACACCCAGCAATGTTTCTGGCTCAGGAATTACTCCTGGCAGTCCTCAGGGATATGGGATGTCCAGGACTGAACCCAGATCAGTCACACGCAAGCACCTTACCTGCTGTATTTTCTCCAGTTTCACTGCAAATTAATTTTTGTTTGCATGTTGTGGGTGCTTAAGAGATCATTGATCTTGAGAGAGAGAACAGGGGTTAGTTAAGGTGCTTGCCTTGCAGCTGCATGGCCAGGATTATGCCCTGAGTACTGCTGGGTATAATCTTTCACGCCCAAAAACTTATTTTAAAAGGCAGATCACTGAAGGGGGGCGGGGGAACCCAACAACAATATACAACCAAATTTTTTTTTAAATCAGAGTCATTTTAAAAAGTGACTTAATATTGAACAAAAATATTATGAATTCAACCTTATATCTCAACAACTAGTGCTTTAGAGAGCAGTGCATCTTAAATTCTTTTCCATTTGCAATCCCTTCTCTTTTTGGGCCACATCTGGTAAGTGCTCAAGGCTGATTTTTGGTAGTTTGGGGGGAACCCTATGAAATTCTGGGATCAAACTAGGTTAGGCCAATGCAGTCTTATCCTCATCCATGTGCCTTACCCTCAGTAGTTTCTCTCCAGCCATCTGGTAACCCCTTTTCACTCAAGAAATTTTCATGCAAGCCCTCATAGATGGGCTATAAAATAAATCAAGCATTAACAACAGATCATAAAAAAGCTCATTAATTTTTTCAATAGTTATATGGGTTATGAGCCAGTTTTAAAAAGCAAATTTGAGCCAAGATAGTACAGTGTGGGGTGATACAGGGTGCTTGGGGTGTTGTGGGGTCGCGATCTGCAGGACTCCATCTATGAGGGATATCCTGGGCGAGGGCGCTCCTGAATAAGGAATGGACGCACGTCTTGAATGGGGAACATGTGACTTTATTGTCTGCAAGGCACTTATATACCTTAAGGTGGCGCTTGTACGAAACAGAATGGGCTGATCTCTGTCGTAGCTAATGGTCAGTGGATGGAGAGTCAAGATAGCCATATAAGGAGGGCTAACGGTCAGTGGAGGACAGTCAAGACAGCTGTATAAGGAGTGGAGAATTACAGAGGGGCTAGCTAGGTTGTGTCATCCAAAGGCTGTGTGGTGGGATGCCATGTGCTTGTGAGGAATGTACAGACTCACAAAGCCAAGATGGAGACCTCTGGCTCCCCACAGTACAGGTGTTAAGGAACTTGTGTTGCATGTGGTCTGAGTCTGAGTACCAGCAATACAATCCGAGCACCACCAGGTATGGTCCAATCTCTGTCCCTTACCCACCAAAACAGGATTTAGGCTTTCAAGGAATAAACTGATTTGATTTTCAGAGCAATCCAGTGTTTAACGTTATAGGTATTATAAATGCAATCTTTCATGTCAATGAAAATATAACCCAGAGATGTTGGGAGGATCCTCCCAGGATGGGTGATGCATGCTGAAAATAGACTATAGACCGAACATGATTGCCACCCAATGCCTCTTTTGCAAACCGCAGCACCCAAAAGGAGAGAGAACAAAAGGGAATGCCCTGCCACAGAAGAGGGGTGGGATGGGGGGATGGAGGAGATGGGAGGTATACTGGGATCTGATCACTGGTGGTGGAGAATGGGCACTGGTGGAGGGATGGATACTCGATCATTGTTTAACTGAAACTCAAGCACAAGAATTTGTAGGCAAAGGGAAAAAAAAGTCTAACATAACTCAAAATAAAAAAAATAACCCTGAGAGAATTTCAGATCCCCACCTTTTTATACTCAGACCCCTTTCCATCAAGATCAAAACTCCTACTAGTGCATTTGAACTATGCCCAAGCAAGCTCCCCTTGCTCTTGGGAGTTAAATTTAGTCTTTGTGTGCAGCAATATGAAGAGTACACTGAAAACTCTTCTTGCAATTCACTGACTTGTGACCATCAATTTTTACCTTTTTCACCCACTCATAGAAACATGCTACTCTGTTTCAAAACAAAACAAAACAAAAAAACCCCTTTTCATTCCTACCACCCCTGTCAGCTACCATGCCATTTCCTCATTTCTCTTCATAGC